ATGCTGATGGCGCCCGCGCTTGGTGTTACCGTCAGCAATGCGCCGGGAGCGAAGACAAGGGAGCAGGATACAGACCTCTCGCCCATGAATGGTAACCTTGGACGGGTCGCCGCCGAAGGACGTGAATATTTTCGTGAAATCCACCTCAGAGCGAGATACTACGGGAGAACATAAATGAGCACCTTCGGTACGGATCAACAGTCGTGCTTTTTTACCTGGTCGAGAAGACCAAAGTTGCCTACGCCCTCTGCGGCAAGCTCCTTTGACCACATGAATCCGAAGGCAGTAACACGATAATTGAAGCTCGCAAAGACCTAGAATGTCATCGTCATTCTCACGACACGAGGAACGATGTTAGGTACGTACGATGGGCTGGCCCATCTCCACGCTGCGTTGCACGATCCATGTAGCATTGTAACGATGATCCGCGCTTCCACCCATACTGAACCCTCCTCCGCTGGTGAGCTTTGGATTAGCCGGCCGAAGGGCGCATATATGCAGGCGAACTCACTAGATCCAGACCATCACTGGGAGGTTGCTGCCTTCCTTAACGCCCTGAGGACGCACGACGTTCATCGTCAGACAAGCCTCGCTGAGTTCATACCCCTCATCGTCGTTCGCGCCAATGGCCGGGTAACCTATGCAAATAGGGCTGTATTCCGTCGCGTTGCGCGTGCCGGTCCACGACGAGTTGAGCGATCGCGGCGCGCGAAGACGGAGATCGGGAGGGAGAGGTTGCTGCGCGTACGGCATGCCCAGGAAGAGCTCCTGCTTGAACGAGGGCAGCGACAGGCCGGTATACGTGCCATTCCGAACTGTGACAGTGGGCGCGGAGAGAGCTACGGCGCCGAAGGCTAAGGCCAAGGTGGTGAAGAGGCGCCTTAACACGACGAACATTGTTGGGAGAGGTAGGCCGTCGAGCTCGAGACAACGCGCCGCGATTGCTATGGGGTTTATACCGAGCATTGTCTGAGCAGGATCCGCGCGTAGGTCACGCTACGGCCCATAATTTGATCTCCTGGGTCTCAGCTGGTCTTGGAGAGGTCATGCGACGGGCGGCGAGAGGGGAGGTCGCGTCGGTCGGGGAGGAAGATTCGTTTAACAAGCGAACAGGTGGACCGCGAGGAACCACCGGCCCCGAAAGCCGGAGGATGGCATGTCGCCCGACGCTAGCGCATGATAAGTAGTCCGCAGCGGCGTCATTCTCGGCGACCACTAGGCATTCTGAGGGCGGTGACAACGTCTGATACGTAGGAGTCGGCGATGAGCAACGCGTTGTCCTTCCTGAAGTTCAACGGTGCTCGCTGTCGGAGGCGTTGAACAGAGTAACAGGTGATTAGGTAATTGCCAATTCCCTCAATCACGTGTTCGATATTCTCTGGCATCTCCCGCTTTCCAGTACTTACCGCTAGTTACATCACAAGTGGACTGACACGAAGCCTGGTCTACCAGAAAAAAGAAAGTTTCATCGCTATGATTATCTCTAGAGGTACCCTCAAAAAATGGTGAACGAACCCGGTCTTACCACAGACTGCTTTCTGGGCTATGCTTGAAAGATAGCATGTACCCCGCTGGCAATGATTGAGCAGTTCAAAACATTGGCGATGGATGCATACGGTCTCACGCTTCCGGAAACTCTATGTTTGACGCCGCCGGACGAGGGCCTCTGGTCGTACTTGTGGCGATATTACTCAACCCGCGTCGTGAGCAGACCACCAGACTACACGACATGCGCCGTGGCGCCTAGTGCCTTGCTGTGTGCCTGTCGTCATTCGCGCGGGACTCAAGCTTGCAACTTCGACGACGTTCCGGACGCGCTGGACATGGAGTTGGAGCGTGAGCTTGCAGTTCAGAGCGACAGAGATCGCTGCTGGACCTCCAAAATCAAGGTCAAAATCAAAATGATCATTAGTAAGGAGTGATAATCGTCATATACTCGTACATAAAGCCCTCGGCGATCGTGAAGGGCAATAGTAGATCAAGCAACCCTCAGCATCTAACGCTGTCCTATACTGTCGTACGTAGGCGGAATCTCGTTCGGACTTTCTGGTTCATCCACCGGCAGCCGACCGCCGTCAGAATGGACGTAGACAGCTACATGAGGCATTTTAGCACGCGATGAGGTTGACCAATGAAGCACTACTCACGACCGCTACCTCCAGCGCCGTCCGTAGGTTGCGTCTCATTCGCGACCTATGACGTTCAGATCAGAACGACCGATTCGAGAGCGAAGATGCGATGATTGATACATACACGTAAGCGCTGGACTTCGCGTTCTTTCGCGCTGAGCGGCTGACTCCCGCTGTGACTCGTCGAGCTTGCATCGTAATAGCCAGCAGCAGCCGCAGGGCCGTACCTGGGAGGATTTCCCAATAAGAACGACATTCTTTCCGGGAGCGACGACGCTACTCACTGCGACGGCCCGTACCCAGACGACGCAGAGGTCGGCCCATACCCAGACGGCGGCGGCGACGAATGACTCGTGCGCGAGTACGCCGAAGCGGACGTCGGCGACGTCTGCCCCGTATGCGCCCCGGCTGCTCCTGCTGCTGCTGCGTGACCCCCACGATCAGCAACGCCATCCTTAAAAGGTGAGAACCGGAACCGGAGCCGAGACTCACCAGCAGCGACGGGGACACCTGATCCGTATCCGTATTGCGCCATCTGCGGATATCCGCCGACGATGTCGTTGGCGCCGCGAGAGTAGTCGGGCCCGGGGACGTAGCCCTGCGGGACGGGTCCGGCACCGCGTCCTGCGATGCCGGCGGTGGACGCGGAAGCCGCTGCGGGGGCGCCAAGCTAGCGAGGGTATTGTGTCAGGATTCGACTACCAAAACGCGTACGCGGAGGGTCGATACGCACTATGTAAGGTTCCACCGCGCCAGAACCGTCGCCAGCTGCGAGATCGAGACCTGCGCCCGAATGGCGCACCTTGAAAAAAAGGACACGTCGGTCAGATCGCGTCATCGACGATGTGAACGGTAACAACGTACGACTCGGTCCGGATCAAAGTTTCCATCGAAATCGTCGCGTTTTCTCCTTCGGATGAAGTACCATGCTACCCAAGGTTATAGTTGAGTGGGTAATCGAGAGTATGGATCCAATCAGCTCCAACCTAGTAATAGGAGCGCGATGAGGCCAACAACGCCACCGACGACGCCTCCGACGATGGCACCTACGTAGATCACCAAGCACGTCAGATTCAGACCAACAGGGGATTCATATACGTAGTTCAACTTACCCGTATGAGACGAACTCGAATGCTTGCCGCCAGATGAACCGCTTACGGCGGTCTGCGTGGATCCCACGAGGGTCGTCTGCTGTATCGTGACAGTCGAAACGCCGCCATTCGGGTTCGTCGTACTATATCGAGAACAAAAAGTTCAAATTTAGCCCAGGTCGGGTTAATGGCGGCAGGGTAGACGTAGACACGTACACAACGGCCGTCGAGACGACGCTCGTGACGGAGGTCACTGACTGGCTTAATGTAACGCTCGATCCGGCCGCGCTGGCGCTGGAGATCTCGCTGGAAAGAGAGCTGGAGGCACTGGAGGCACTGCTGGAAAGGGAGGAGGCAATGCTTGAGATCGAGGACGAGTCTATGGTGGAAGAGCTGGAGGTCGGGGGGAGGGTGGTGGTTGAGGTGCTGGATAAGCTGGTATCGGTGGTGGATGAGGTGGTGGAGGTGAGCGATGCCGTGGTATCGGACGTCGAGAGCGTCGGGGTCGACGACGCGGAGGACGTGTCTATGGACGCTGAGATCGTCGTATCACGAATCAGTTCGTTATCCTCCAGCAGAGATGTACAATTCGCTCACAGGTTGCGGCCGTGTCCGTGCTCATGGTGCTAGATGCCAATGAGCTGCTCAAATTGCTAGTCGAGGACGGTATCGGTGAAGACGGCGCGGATGATGAACTCATCCGTCCTCGGTGTACTATACAATGAGAACGCTAAGCTAGCTAGTCGAGTTGTATTCGTCTCGACTGGATTTGGGACGTCGGGGAAGGTGTTGAAGGCCAGGGTCCTCCGGCGAGAACGCGACGGCCGATCCCGTAGTTCCAGGTTTGGAGCAAGAAGCTGAGTCTGATGTCATTCGAACTCCGCCTCTCGCACGTTCGGCACCCGTGCCGAGCTCGACGACCATCTCACCTCGGGCCACTCCCTCCTCCAACTTTGTGCGAAATGCCTCCACCGCGATGAGACATATCGACATTCTGTCATGAGGACTACATAACGGGATTCCGTACTGATTCCGTGCTTAGGCTGCAGCTCGGACTGTCACGAATCCATCGAAATCCACCTACTACTTCTATCCGAGTCGCCCGGATTTGCTGCGATTTCACTGACGCTGCCTCCTTGACTATCGGCCGACCAAGACAACATCTGCAGCGCTGCGATTTCTCGGATATGAATCATTCCTTGTAATCTTGTTGTAATCGCTCCTGTCTAGCCGGCTACGAGCTGCTCGGTAAAGGCCGATGTGAAACCAAGCTTAAGCAGTTGGCATGTTCCGCACGATGCTGCGATGTCGTCATGCGCTATAGCTGGACGACCGACTAATTGCAATCACTGTCGAACATGTATTCTCGTGAGTACTTACTAACCTCGAACCGAATAATATATAGCAGCCGTTACTCACAATCCATCGGGGACTTGCCAGAAACTCACTGCACAGGCTCAAAGGAAAGCGCCAATAATGAAAACGAGATACTGGCGACCCATTTGACAGATGCGTCCGCCCTCGGGCCACCTTGTCCACTGCATAACTTGATGCCCTTGACTTCGTGGGCTAGCGTCCGTCATCAACTCCCTGCTATACGCCGGCAGGCTGGTCACTCTAGGCTCCGCAAGGAGAGAAGATCAGAGCAAGTACCTGAAGTCCACTTATATGCGCCAATACGTCCTGCGCCTCTGCTCTATCGATTCTCGCCAGCGCATCTCTCATATGTTGCGCGTTTCTACCTCGTTCGTTATCTCGGCTATGTCAACGACCGGAATCGGCTGAGAGCTACAATGCACGCGCGATAGCAAAAGAAACAACCTCTTGCATCCGTTCGGATCGGGGTAACGACGCTCACACGAATGGTGCCGCGGTCTTTGATCGACGTTCACGCCGATGGGTAACGGAAGATCGTCGATGAACCGCTACACTCATCATATTCACAGCCCACGGCGCGCGCGCCGTGCCGACCAACCAAAGTTCAACAGCGCCCGAGTCTCCACTCCATCCAAACTCGGATCCCTTCGTACCTACCAATAGATGACTTTGGGTGGGAACGGCGACCAACGAGCTGCGGGCGATCAAATATACCGGGGACTCAACACCAATACTCTGTATTCGTGTCGCCCGGGCTCATGAAGTTCAAATCACACTGCAACATCACCGACGTTGCATGCTAGCCTGACGCCCCGTATCTTTGCGTGGCGGAGCCTACCTAGTAGGCTATATGACTGTTGCTCAAGGCGCTCCCAACTAGTTGCCAGAGAATGGTAATTTTGCTCATCTCCGACCTTGCGCCCCAGTCCAAGATCCTTGTCGAGAATATTCAACTCCGCTCGTGATATATGTGTTAATACTTACGTACGATCCTCACAATCCTTCAGCAGCTGTCAAAACCTTACAGCATAGCTTCGAGCGAAAGCAATGAAGGGGACGAGATGGTGGCGGCAAATGTTCGCCGTATGTCTACCGTTACTGCCTGTGTTATGAAATGATGGCCCTGCCTTACTGTATAGACGCCTTTCTCCAGCTGCGTATGATCCGCCCACAAGCATAGGGCTCGCGAGCTCGTAATAGCAGGTCTTGCGGGGATTGTACGTAGTAACTATCGTTTCCATTACACACTTCGGCTAAAATCATGCGCAACACATCCTTCACTGCAGATGCTGCCCGGACTGTGATTAGACCGGTTCCCCTCCCTAGGAACCGAGCGTTTGATAGCAAGAGAAACGCCTTTGACCTCCTCTTCTACTCATGCGCTGCGATGACGACGCTCCCATGAAAGATGTTACGGTCTTGATACTCGTGTATGCCGATGAGTATATAGGAGATCGTCGTGAGGTGTGTATAACATGCAATGCTCACCAATTCACGGCGCGTGCCGGATGCCAGCTGCAAGCCGGTAAGTAAAGTTCAATAGCGCCGCGACTCGGCCTCATAAATTGAGTTTCTTATCTTTCTTTCCCATATCAAGACCATTCCTAGACATATGTGAGCTACGAACCTTCTCAACAGATGGCATCGATCCTTGTGGAGTAAACTTCCGTGTCGTTCTTGGATTGTTCGCATCAAGCGGACATGTATAGCACGGATGGCAGGCGCCTGGTATCGCACACTTCGGAAACCGCAACGCCGTCTTCACGAAGATCGTCCTAGAACGAGCAAAGCACACTAAGGCTCGGTGAAGAATGCGGGCCGGGGCGAGGTCTTCCGAGTGGAAACGTACCGCCATGTGTTAATGTGCGGGATCTCACGTTTCTGCTTCTGCATCCTCGCTCTGTGAACAGCACGTGGTGCATGCTCGTAGAAGAGCTTCTAGCCCTTAGGGGGATGCGCTAACACGAGTGTAATCTCTGAGCATAGGTATGTGCGTTACGAGGACGGTGGCTCTTAAGGTAATGCACGTGCAATTGGGGGTTCGTTGTAGGTCTAGGGAAGAAAGAGTACACGTCGAGACAAGGGAGCATAGTACGTACACGAATGATTCCGGTAAAAGATACAACAAGAGAGAGCAAGAGGAGTGACAATGAAGCAACAACGAGAGATGGTGCAAGGTCCAACGAGCGACCAGCATACTACATAGTCGCAAATGAAAGCATGATATGAGCGGCAGAGGGGTATCGCGCTTCCGCGAACCCAAGGTCAAAACATCTCCATGAGGGAGATGGACTCGTGCAGCTCGTCTATAGCGGCAAGCGGCCTTCGTTCACTGCGTCGCACACCGTGCGAGGAGTGGGCGTCGGCCGCTTGCACGTAGATGCGCGGAACAGGCGAAGCGCCAGATTGCAGAGCTTCGACGTGTTGTCGATGCCGCTCCTGAAGCCATATGGCCACGGAATCGGTCGAAGCAGGAGGGTCTGCGTAGGCTCCGATGAGGGCGACGGGGTCGTATTCATCGTCGAGCTCGTTCTCTTGGTCATCGGAGCCCGGAGCGTGCGCCGGCGCGGAGAGCTTGACGTGATGGAGGCGCTCCCACAAGCGGCGCTCGCGCTTACGCTCCTCAATGAGGTTCCGGCTTCGCCGACCGGACTCGCGAGAGTTGCGTCGAGCGAGGGACGACGGCGGGGAAAGATGAGAGGGGGATTGTGGAACAACTGGAAGCTTGCGCCGAATAGGCGAAGGCGACTCGCTCGGTTCCCCGAGCGCAGGATTGGATTCTGACCAAGGGCTCGACGGCCTGAGGGGCATGTGAGTCAGCAACCTAATCGTCCTATACAGAGATATCCCTTACGAATTGGCCGAGGAAGCCATACGTGAGTGTTGTAGAATTTCCTCGTCGAGGGCAAGGTCGGCATCAAAGTCGGCGTTAGCACCCGGGATAACCTCGGCAGACGAAGGCACCGGGTTTAGATACTTGGGCGGCGAGGATGCCGGCCGGGAGGGAGTGAGATTGTTACTCGAGGGGAGAGGTGGAGGGGCGCGGGTCGGCATAGGGGGGGCGGCACGGGAACGTTTACTGTCTATTGTTGCAGGATGAGATGGAACCCGGGAAGAACCTTGGACGAATCCGGGAAGATCAGGAATGGGTGGAATCGCTTCGTCGACGGGTGATGTAACGTTGACCGACGAGGTCCTACAGACATTCCTCAATACCGGAGCACAACGATGAAGCATCACGACTGACGATGGATCTGTCGGCGAACTAGAAGCTGAGATGTCGAGCGCAACTGATGACGCTCTGCGACTGGAAAGGCTCGACAGAATACTCTTGCGCGATTTTCTGCGGAGACTTTGAATGACTGATCTGCGTGGGAAACGAAAAACGTACGTAGAGATGGAACTGGCATTGGAAGGTGCTGCTTTGACCTTTTTACGGGCAGCCAACATGTTGCCGATACCTCCTCGACCGCCGGTCTACCGATGTATTCGTGAGATCGCCTCCAACAAAGATCAGATCAGAAGATCGCATACCCCAACAAGACGGTTTTCGGCACTGGCGGCGATAAGTCGCCGTTCGCGTTGACGCACGGCCTCCTCGTATTCACGAAGGATGGATGCGGTCTGAGGATTACTGATGGAAGATGAACACAGATCCAAGGTATACGTGGATTGAACCGTACTGATTGGCATCGAGGTCAGCTTGAAGATGCTGATACATCTTTGTTCCCCTTATGTTGCCGGCGCCGCCTCGCCCGGATACTCTGACTTTCTACGAAGTATCAGCATTGGCACACAATAGATTATAGGCATGAGACTTACCTTTCGAGGGTCAGGTCGAGCTTCTCTTCCTCGAGCCGGTGATATCGGATCCTCATAAGGTTGTACGTATACACTTGACGCGCTCATTGAACTGCCAGAGGACCCCGTGGCGGAAGAGACAATTGATGTCTCCCTTCCAAGCGGCGACAAGCGCGAATTGTCACTAACCCTCAGCGATGTGTTGCTCTACGCAATGGTCAGAAGGCAACGTTGATCAAATCGAAGTGTTACGAACCGGCGAGATGGGCGAGACAGGTGAGGTGAGCGAACGTCGTCGGATGTTTCCAGCGCCACCGCGACCTGAGGACTGATATTTCATGGATTTAACAGATATCGTGTCGGAATCGCGATCACGGAGGGATTTGAGAGGGGAGGTCAAGATGGTAAGAGTCAGCACAGGTCTCGTCATGTCGACGGGCAAATGTAGATAAGGGCGGATCCGCGGGAAGAAGGTGTGGTTGGATCTTGAGCGCAATGAATACAAGAAGCGCGCTCGCGACAACAAAGTGTCGGGTTGGCTTCGAATGGAGGCACAGGTTGCGCCAATGAAAAAAAAAATGACGGGGATGAGCGGTAAGATAGGGCGATGCTATGAACAGCAGGATGCGCCCGAGGCGCCGTAGATATAGGCCAGTCGCATATGACACAGCGGTCCCGGAAAGGAGATAAGCGTGCAAGTTCATGAGAACCTGCCGCTAGGTAGCATGAAGTATGCGCCAATAATACGACGGCGCGGTTCACAGAGCGCTTCCGCAACCGCGTCCACACGACATAGTCGCCTGCACGGTGAGGCGCGAAGCGGAGATAGCCGTAAGGCGGAAGGAAAGAAGGTACGAGGAATGGTCGCGGGCAGGAATGTGGGCAATATATGATGACGGACTCACGACGATACGACCCGATGAAGATGCCTTGAGAGCCCGTCGTCCGGCTTTCTGCTCAGCCTTCTCCGCCTTCTCACGTGCCTTCTGCTCCTTGGCCGCCAGTTTGGCTGGATCAGTCTCCTTTTTCTTGCCGAAAGCCATGTCCACGAGTAACGGGTCACCGTCAATGACGAAAGTCACGGGAAAAGAGAGAATATGATGCTCGATAGCAATTCCAGTATACGCGGGCTGGTCCCAGAAGAAGACGGTAACCAAGATAACCGAGGACAGTGAGCATCGAAGCCTGCAATCTGCTAGCGCACACGACCCCGACCGAACCGCCAGGGGAAGGTCCCCAGTGTAAGAAGATGGTAGGACTGATATACTATACGTTCACCGACGACCATGTCTGCAGATATATTTAGCCATCCAGGTCCGTCTGCTCCCGTGAGGTGCCCTATCAGAAAGCCGACAGCCTCGCCGCGTCGCTCCAAAGTCTTGATAGCCCCGTTCACATGCCCGAAGGCCCTGAGCAGGTGGGTCTGACACCGGAGGCGATGGAGTATTGACGCCCTGGAGATATAACATTGCCACCGATAAGGAGGGAAAAGACGTCGGTCGTCATTTGGTAAACACGGAATCCGCCGAGGTCGGACGAGAGCGTATGAGAACCGAGGATGACATGAGACCGGAGCATAGCTATTATCCGAAGACCGCCAATCCTGGCAGAGACTCGAGAGAGGGATATCAGTCCGCGAAGCCGCCTCGCTCCTGCCCCGCGTTCGTCCCCCTCAAGCCTCAGACTTCAGATCTAGAAAATCGATCGAGATCAGGGACGGCGTTCAATAGTTTTTGCTGGGCTTGGTGCTGCCCTGTCTTGTCATGGCTGTCTCCTAGGCAAAGCGCTGACAATGACTACTAATTGAAAGTCTGCGATGATATTCTGGCGGGACCACTATACGAGAGCAAGCGGCGGGGTTAGAACGAGGTCAGCCCGATGACCCTGCAAGAGGAAAGATTGGCAAACGGTTCCGGAGCCGTGACTGGTGACCGGTGACCAGTCACAGGGCTCTCGTCACGAATTAGTCACCAGTTCCTCGTCCGTCGACGATACTCAATCGCATCTTGATTCTTGACGGGACTCGCATTGCTATTATGCTCAATACCCACTGCTTAGGCACTCTAGGCAATGCAGTCTCCCCCTGCGGATTTGGTCGTCTGACTGGTTCCGCACATCTAGTCCTGCTCAACACGCGGCGTGGAACCCGAACCTTGAATGCACAGATGTGCATATTTCCTCCCTCGGAATGTCACGGCGCCGATGCGGCTAAGGCACCTCTTTATATGCTGGCTGAACATTTGGCCTATGCCGCCTTCCCGCCTTTCTCTTCCTTGTCAACGCTCTGGCGATTTCCCATAGGACGTGGAGTGAAACAAACCTATTCACTGCATGCAACCAAGTGTCTCAGAATCGGTTTCCTTCTCCCTACAAGTGAACAAAGGCGACCCGTCTTCTCGACGACAATCCTATCATATAGTAGTGCCCAGAAATTAACGTGTCTCTCGCCGGGAATACCACCAGGGTCGAATTACGAGCCTCAAGCTGCATCGGTCCGTACCGGACACGTGGCGATGGGATGCGCTTGTGCTGTTAAAAGACCGAACCCGATCCTTTCATAGACTCCACCGCTCCCAGCACGCCAGACATCTCCGACTAATTGACTCTGCCTGATATACCTGTTTCTGGAAGCTGGGTGGTGAAAGTGTACAAAAGGCTTTGCGGCCGATGGTGGCAGTCTTCTTTGCATTGTATTCCTCTCCTGCAGCCCCCTTCGGCGTCCGCGATTCCAGTCCGTTTGCTGGACCGCTCAGATCTTGTGCAAAATGCCTCCCGTTCAGACAATCGATAATACCTTTGGGGCCCTATTTCTAGGAATGGTCATCTCATCTATGTAAGCAATTTTGACCGTCATGCGGGGTCAATTTGGCTTCACTGCAGAAACTATAATCACAGCATGTTTGGCGTCACAAATCTCCAGGTACGTTCATTATTTGTGTCTTGGCATCGAGGTCGTCTGATGCTTGGAAATCGAAGGCATACATATATTATCATCGATACCCAAGGGATCATCAGCTGTACAAGATTGCGGTAGGCCCCTTCTTCAACTCCGCTGCTATTTCTCTCACTTTGTCTACGCAGATAGGCGTTCTCTGGCTCTTCGACACTCTGATTCTGGCATTGAACGTGCACGCCGTGTACTACTACACAATCACCAACTTCTCAAACGAGATCGCGTTGCTCTTCGTTGTATGGTCAGCGAAATTCCTCACGTCCTTGCATAATACATTCATCGCATATTCCAGGAGCTTCAAGGTGACTCAAACACAAATCCCGAACCGCGTAACGATCTGATTCGCATCAGCTTCAAGTAGCCTTGACCTCTGTCATGATACCGATGGTACAAAGCCTTTATGCGCTTCGGCTGTGGAGATGTGAGCACAGAACGTACGATAAAGCTCGGAACGAAGCTGATGAATACTGGCGTCAGTGCGAGACGGACAACTCATATTACCTCTTCTCGTCGTCAGTGAACTGCCCTGAAAAATGTGTGTCCTGCTGATTCCGTACACAGTGTTCGACAGTTCTGGGAGGATGGAGTGAGTCGTTTCCTTATCATTGGAAGAGGAAATGAATCCTGACTCTCCATCGTGGTGTAGTCGTTGGCGTCAGTGAGTATCTCCCTCTGGACGAGCTCCCGTTGGATTGCTCAACTTATTCTGCCAGTGTCTGCTCGGGATGGGTATGGCTGACTCAGTCCAATATACGCCACGTATTGACAGCCTGACAGGTACCGGATGCATACGTTTGCGGACTTCGCACAGTTTAAGGTATGTAGGGGCCGTTCGTCGCCGGATCTGAAGTTTGAGACTGACCTTGTCGTAGAATACCATATACGCGGACTTCTCTCTTTCTACTGGCATAGACACAATCACGTCCATCACTTTGTGCTATTACCTATATCGGACTAGATCAACATTCTCCGGGTAAACTTGGCCTTGTAAACTCTGTTCTGTGTCCTGATACTTTCTGACGCCAACAGAACAAGATCTCTCGTGCATAGCCTCATGTATTGGATATTAGGAACAGGCCTTCTCACAAGGTTAGCTACGGTACTCTCGCAAATACCGCAATCTCATCATCTGTCCAGCGCATGTTCCCTAGTATTGCTCATTACGGTCAGCCAATTCTCCCCATGCCCTCGGAGGTAACTGACACTCGAATGTTTTTGTCAGTTCGCGGCAATGCCAAACAATCTCGTTTTCATCGCGATGGAGATATTGCTATCCAAGCTGTATCTCAACAGTTTCCTCGCTATGTGAGTTAGAAAACATTCTATAGCCTTTCCGACGAGATTGTTGATCATGCACAGGTTGAACGCACGGCAAAGCCTTCGTGAGCGGCACCAGAGCCGTTCCTTCACGCAGTCAACCCAAAGATCTGATCGCATAGCGATATGCGTCTCCAAGGTCCGTTCATCGTGACGGGAAGGAGCCTCGTAATCTAACACGTCTTCAGGAATACGACGTGGAGCTTTCTCCGCCGTCTCCGGTGCGAACAGGTGTTGGTATCGCCGCACCTCCGAAAGCGAAATTGTCTGCTTAACTCCGTTGAACGAGCGGATATGTATGATCCAAGACAGGAGGCAGAGGCTTCGTTAATGATTATCTATCCTTGCGCCTCACACTCATTACATCCGATCTTCGCAACTCGTGATACAGTAGTAATATTCTCTCGTATTCGTACACCATTCCAATCGTTAGATCTACTAGAAGACCTGTACCTTGACATGCAGGTCTTGGGATGGATGCAGCTCGAAAAAATCGATGGCAACTGATGCTGGAGGACATGGACGTGGACCACGACATGGATAACCGCCGGAATATATATGTCTAGCGGGCACTGCATTAGGAACATCATTATTGCTCTCAAGCAGGTATAACCTCACGTCTCACATTGCAGGCACACAAACGCAGCACCGTAACGAAGATGAGTCGAAGTGAAACATGTAAACTGTCTTCGCAACGCAAAAAGAACAATTCTATGGGAATGGGTCGAGGCGCATGCAAGGGCGTCGGTTTGAGGCACAAGGGCCAGGTAATTTCATTGAATTGCTCGCATTCGTCGTACGTATTTTCACGCGTACGTCTTCTCCAATGCGTTCCCAAGGATCCTGTCCCACGCAGCGGCGCCCGTCTCCTTGAGTTCAGACGCATGCGACCAAGGCTTGTGTTCGACCTCCGATTCCATCGCGCCCTTGAAACACCCTCCCCACTCATGACGCGGATACGCCTCCATGAGTTCCGCAACGAACGACTCGGGTAGCAGGTGCGCGTGTTCGTGAACGTTATCTCACGCGAGTCAGCCACGTCAGCCGATCGCAGCCTCCCGTTGAACAAAGAGACGCGCGGGGTGCTCACCGAAGAGGGTTCCGATCTGTATGAGCTGGCCGTTGAAGGAGATTTTGCCGTTGTTGAAGTCGGTATGCCGGAATATGGCCTCAGAGGCGGAGTCGGCCAGGTCGGAGGATGCGCCGTGGTCGAGTAGCCACTGAGCGCTTCGAGATGAGCGAGGATGAATGACGGTGTGGCGAATGTTACCTGTCGCGTTGTCAGACCGCCCCAAAACTCGAAAGAGAGCTCAGTCCTTGATCACAGCCAGCGGCACGTAAGGATCATACGGCGGCAAAATAATCAACTAGCATGGCGCACTTTTTGATGTTGGCTGGCGTGCATCCGATGTCGTGGAATAGACACGCGAGATAGAAGCTTTCGGCATCGTAAGCATTCGCGAGGGTCCCGTCCGTAGCGAATTGGAGTTTGGCCACCGCCGATCCTAGTCCCGCAGCAAATGACGCAGGTCAGTTTACATCCCTCATCACGGTGAAAAACCTGCCCCTCACCGATCAGAAACGCGCGGTGCGAGTGGTTCCATATCTTCTCCCCGAGCTCGGGTTCGAGGAACGTCTTGGCCTCCTCGATCAGCTTCGACGTCGGAAGGGGGACGTCGGCGAGCGAGATGGACGCTGCGGGAGGGTTGAGCTTCGCATAGGGCAGCTGCGATGGATCGCGCGGAACAGGAGTGAATCCGGCAGGGTACGAAGACATATCGTAATCGCGGACGGAAAAGAGACGGGCTGGTTGACCGCGCAGTCTGCTCATGCAGGGCTTAAGGAGCGCGATGAACGAAAGTGTGAGTAAGACCGTCATAGGACCAGCATGACGAATATGACGATGATCACCGCTTCGATTCGTGCCACGAGAGGAAGCAGTATAGCGAGATCGTCGGAGCGTGAGATCGAGCACCAACTGTAACATAAGTAATCTTGTCCCCCTGTCGAGACGGCGATCGAGATTGGTCTGGAAGCGCGTTAGGAATGATGACTCTCGGTGGACACTGAGACTCAAATTTAGGCAGAACTCGAGAGTAAACGATGCAATATACAGGTCCACAGAGATGATAAAGGAAGGAGATAGGATAAGAAATGCGGGTCGCTTGAGAGCGAAAGAGCGAAGGGGCCGAGAATAGGTAGAAGAAAGACAGAATGAAGGTCCAACACAAGTCTGGGCGCATGTAAGAGCGGATTCTCGAGCGGAGTAATAAGCGCAAGGACGTACAGATCGCGAGTCATGCTTGACGAGCTCCGAGCTCTCCATTAACTATTGGTACTGGTATCCGCGGATGATCTGCGGCTGAGCACCACGGATGCGTGTGCGGCCGTCCTTCAAGCGTTCGGTGACGATGGGTGATGCCGCTGGGCGGTACTTGTACTCCTTGCTGTACCGGTTGGCGTAGACCGTCTGCGGCTTAGTGGTCTGCGACGGGTCGCTATGAGCTATGCATATATGCATGACACGATCGTTGAAGCTGACCTTGGCGTTGAACCTCATCTTCACCGCAAGGTAGAACAGAACCGCAGTGAACAGGAGCAGCGCCACCCGTTTCCATATAGAAGGAACAGGCCTGTCAAAACGAGGGTCTATAGACGGCACATCAGCATGCCCATGGCCCAACTGCCGGCGCGTCTCCACCGAACAATGTTATGCAGACAAGTAAATGGAACGCACCATGGGGTACTTCAGGATGCCTCTTGACGCGGCGCGGGGGCTTCACATCCAGGTTCGCAGCGTTGTCAGGTGAGTGCGCCGTGGTTTCCGCGTGGTCGATATCGTCGAGCGGAGGTTCCGTAGCAGGGTCTACCTTGCTCTGCGAGTCTGGCTTGGACATGTTTGAGAAATACAGTGATACGTCGGAGAGAAAGAGTTAGGCGCGCCCGCCGCCGTTCACGGTCGACTTGGAGAGCCTTGAGGCCCGAGGGCTCGTCGGCGGGCGTGGGTTCGCTGCGGCATCATCACGTGGACCGTGGGAGTTCCTGTTTGACTCCTGCACGATCTGCGCGCGCGTTCATATGCATGTTCGTCTCACCTCGAGCTCAAACAAATCAGAAGTCGCTCAGCCTCCATCGTATTTCGACGAAGCTGGAGTTTCATTTTTATGCGCTTGGCCTCAGCGATCAGCAGTGACGCCGTCGCCAACGCGATGTTGAGATGACCGCGGACGTCCCCAGCCCGCGCGCACGAGTCCATGCGCACGTTCAGGCGAAGATTGTTGGGTCGAGCGCGTTTCGCACATCCCTTACGTAGGCGGTGGTAGTAGTGCATGCATTGCCGCACCGCATTCAGGAAGCGATCATTGTGGCACCGCGTTGAACAACTCGGTCTGGTTGGGTAGTCAAGCCGCACGATAAGGTTGAAGTACCAGGAAATCCACATTTTGGTCACCTTATCTATTTTTCTCACCATACAGGGCTCGAAAGCTCTACGAATATATCCGGAGAAATGGCGGCATGGGAACCGGGGGGAATATCTCTCCCCGATATAGTCCAATGATCACCTTCTCTTGTTGGCCGGCAGCGTTGTGTGGAAGGTGTACGATATTTCGTTGAGTTCGACGATTCCAACAACGATCACTATGATCTGAAATTCCGTGGTGTTCTCAGTTCCTCCAAGGCGAACAGGGTCCTCAAGCTTGATTGGTGCGTCGGCTTCATGAAACATGGGACATCGACGCGCCAGTGTCTCTGCAGAGCTACATCACACTACCCCGTCATGAATCCTATGGTTAATCTGATTATCGAGCTATTTGTACCAGCACGATGCTGTGCTCGCCTCGCCTCGCACCAGAAAAGCACATATAAGGGAGCAGCAGTCCGTCGATACAGTAAGCAAACCGACCAACATGCAAGACAAAGTCGAAGGGGATACGACAACCCGTATGTTCATTCACGTTTCTCTGCCGTATACTCGACTGGCAATCATAATCACTTATTCCCTTTACCATACGCAGAACTGATTGCAGCGGGCCCAATCGGTCATGGTCAAGATGGTCGCAACATTGACGACGGACAAAAGATCTGCGAATGCGCAAGTAAATCCGTTTTGCTCAGCTGCTTTGAATATTATCCAACCACACTTTGCAGCAGATACGTCATCTGAGGCGAACGAACGCTATTATACAGCACTCCAACTCCACCACAAATTCCTCCAGAATAGCGATATCGACGCCGCAAAGCAATGCATCGATCACTATGAGGCCCTCCTATCGGAGGCACAGGGAACCACTTCCTTCAGTGCGACAATACCAAATTTGAAACTGGACGTTTCGCTCGACACCGGCCCTAAGCTATATCACATACTCATTCGGCTGGCTGATCTATACGTGGATTGCTATAGGCACAATTACGAGCAATGTGATCTGGAGCTTGCGGTACAATATGGGAAAGAAGCCCTGTATATGTGCCGCACAGCTGGGATACGTTGCCCTACAGTACTTGGGCTATTCGCCAACATCTTGGATAGCAATGCAGACGACGTTTCCCGGAAAGAAGATAGGATCGTTGCAGAGTCGCTCTGCAGAGAAGCCATCTCACTCTGCGCAACGGGAACCTACTTGGCAGCAACTATTCGCCTTAATCTGGCATGGATTCTGGGAAGGTTATCCAGAGATAACGGGTCTCATACTTTGATCAAAGAAGCAGTCGACATCCAGCGACAGGCCTTGGTTGACCTGCCTCCATCTTATTGTTACGATCAACATCGACACCTGCGATTCCTAGGGGTGTGTCTACTCGACCGATACGAATTTTTCGGAAGACCAGAAGATTTGGATGAATGCCTTGATGTTTCCGCGCAGGCCGTGTACTTATGTCCAAAGATGCACATTGATCGATGCAAGACAGTAAATGGGATGCTCCGGTCGCTATATCGGAAGACTTTGCGCTCTGGCGCTATCAATGAGCTCAACAAAGCGATCGAACTTGGACTGAACACTCTCAAAGAAGTCTCCGGTGCTGGTATGGGGCGCGTCGAACGCCTCAGTGTGGTAGCAGATCTTCTCGACCTTCGCCATCAGCTCGCTCCATCCGATGGGCGCGACCTCGAAAAGTCAGTCACTCTGATCCGGGAAGCCTTGCAACAATGCCCTCCCAACCACACACGCTATTGGATGTACGTGAGCAGCTTGGCGCTCAAATTGCATTTGCAGTACAACTGGACCGGAGAGATAAGTCGTCTCGAAGAATCTATTCAACTCGGGCGTTCTACCATCGATTCAATGCCAACTACCCACCCTCAGCGATTCATTCCCGCTCACAATATGGCGCATTCACTGATGCTCCGCTTCAACGAGACAAGGCAGATCTCTGATCTCGATGAAGCCATCAAATGGGATCGTAGGGCCCTGGCGAGCTGTGGGACCTCACCTGTGTTCTATCCGGATATTTCTGCTCAAGCTGTCTCCCGTCTTTGCATGTTATTTGACGCTCGGGGCTCATTCGAGGCTTTGGAAGAAGCGATTACCCTCGGCAACACCGTCCTGGATACGATGGTTTCCGATCATGCCGAACGCGGTGATGTTATCCTCGAGCTGTCAAAAGCTCTGTTACGCCGCGGGAGACATCAAGAGAATATCGCGGATATCGACCGCTCCATCTCGGAGTTAGCACGTATCAAGGAAGTGATGCTTCAGCGAACAGAGGGCCCTAAACTTCTGAGCACCCTCGCCGACTGTCATATCGTCAGATTTCGCTTCAATCGCAGCGAGAAAGACGCGAACGATGCCTTGGAGATTATCACTGGCTTGTTGGATACCCTGCACCCTGGCCGTCCCGAGAGGTTTCAATGCCTCGTAGGTGCCGCAGAACTCCACATGGAGCTAGGAACATCTTATCGGAGTATCCAGGCTGCACTCTCGCATTTAGTCGATGCTCTATCAGACGAACACCGGGACGTTCGTTCTCGGATTGAAGGAGCACGACGCATACTTGATATCGCGGTGTCGCAATATCAGGATATCGTCTCATCTGAGGTCGCAGCACATCGCCAACTGCTGGATATCTTCACTCTTGTGGTGGGACTTCTGCCCCGAGTGGCCTTCTTTGATCTTCATCTTCATACTCGACTCCAGTCTCTAGCTATCGGCCAGAGCATCGCTCTCACCGGCGCATCTCACGCGCTCATCATCGGCTCATCTCAGAAAGCATTGGAAATCCTTGAGCAGGGCCGTGCGGTCTTCTGGACCCATGCACTACGCTTGCGCTCTCCGTTCGAGGCAGCGCCCAAGGAGCTCAGAGAACGATTGTTGATCCTTGCCCGACAGCTGGAGAAAGTACACGACAAATCGTCTACGGGGGAGAACCCGGGTGCCGTCGAAGCGGAGATCGCACGGAGAAGAGGTCATATCGAAGAATTTAACGCGCTGCTCAACCAGGTTCGCAAACAACCTGGACTGAACAGATTCCTGCTGCACGACGAGTTTACGACGCTGAGAAAAGCCTCCGAGAGAGGTCCGGTCGTAGTGTTGGTTTCCAGTGCGCTGGGATGCCACGCTATCCTTCTCAAGCAGGGGGGCGACTGTGTAAGCATTCCTATCGAGCGTCTTCCTGATACTTGGCTCGCACATTCCGGCACGGAGTGGCGATCGATCATCGTGGAGGCCAGGGCGGAGATGCGCGACTGCAGAAAGATGCAAAAATCGAAAATCCCGAAGGCTCGAAGAGCGGGTGCCGAGGAGATCTTGCGCCAATTATGGATTGAGGTGGTGAGACCGGTGATCAAGGCGCTAGGGCTCGAAGTATGAGTTAACCCTCTACATTATCGTGGCATAAGGCTCACCAGTTGCTTCTAGCCCTCCGAAGGTCGAAACCGTCCTCGCATATGGTGGTGCCCCACTGGAAACTTTGCTCACTTACCGATCCATGCAGCCGGTGCTGGCGGAGAGCGGTGCTCAGATTACGTCGTCTCCTCCTACATACCGACCGTCGGGTCCCTTCTTGCTGCCAGAAACGCGTATTCGCCCATCCTCAAGGACGACGTTCACGCGCTCGTCGCTGCAACGCCTCGGTCGAGCATGTCGCAGTGGAGCGACCTCATCAACACGCGCGAAGAAGCGAGAACGATCCGGGCGGTCTTACCAAGCGAATCCATAATAGAGCTGTCTCCCGCAGACGACGCTTGCATTGAGGGCGGAAACGGGATCACGACGGAGACGCTGCTAAAGCTGCTCCCACAGACAAATATCCTGCACCTCGCGTGCCATGGCCATCAAGATCTGGAGAATCCGTTGCAGAGCGGATTCATTCTGCGTGACGAGAAACTCACGATCGAACGACTGATGCCTGTACCCCTCCCTCGCGCGTTCATGGCATTTTTGAGCGCCTGCGAAACAGCCAAAGGTGACTTCGTGAGTACCAATACCAGTCGACATCATGGTGCGACTGAACAACGTGCCTACGCAGAATCAGCCTGACCAGGTGGTCCATCTCGCGGCCGCCATGTTCTTCGCGGGATTCAAAAGCGTCATCGCTACGCTCTGGTCAGTCCCTGTTTGCAGCTATCCACCTCTATGATACCGACTTACAATCAAATGTAAAGGTCCATGGCGGACGCGGACGGGCCAGAGATAGCTCGATCTGTATACCAGAAGATATTCAGCAGCAAATTGGATCACATCGACCCCGATGACATCGCGTACGCCCTCGACGAGGCCGTCACGAACCTGCGAACCGTCCAGCCTGAGCCGCTCCGATGGGCACCGTATATACACCTAGGTATTTGAGCGTGCGCCAATATATGCTATTGGTTCGAAATGTACAACGGATGAGGCCGTGGTTAGAAGGCTACAACAAATAGTACCAGTTGCTCTGGTCTCCAGCCTTGAAACCTACACCTCTCCGAAGACGAGGTACGGCCTCGCCCCACCGCGGATTGATCTATAACATGTGCGGAGTCGAAACATCTATCAGCCAAAGGGTAGTAGCCCGCGCCATCCTCTGGGAACTTACCCGAGGGAGGGATAGATTCGGCTCTATCTGAGTCTTGGGGGCCACTGCCTCCAACACGGGTCCTCTCCGCCTTCAGGGTGGAGGCCTTACCCTTCTAGATGATGAATGGTGCTGTTGCGAGCGAGAACCAGAGCAAGTATCAAGACGGTGGGCCCGGCTCAGACCTGGGAAAATTGGAATGAACACGATGCCATGATGTACAGTGGATGTATGCGCGTACTAGGATGCAAGGTCAAAACCATCAAAGGTGACGCCGTGAGAGAAACACGTCGCGTCACCATCGCGTTACGCGTTACATACCGCCCGCGTGATCGTTCCTTGCTGTCCTCCTGGACCTCTGTCGTCCACTTCACTTTGCGCGGCTGGGGACACCATCATTTCTCTGACCAGAGCTATAGACACTTCTTTCTTGATTTTTGGTGACGCACAGCCATGGAATCTGTGATACTCAAAGCACGCCAACAAGAAGAGCGCCAGGCCGCTATCCGCGCGCAGATCGCGGCGTTGCAAGCTCAGCTGGTAGATCCGTCGTCCGCCTCGACCTCCTCTCAACGGTCAACCGGTAACTTGGGCGGAAACATCTCCAGACAACAGAAGAGGAAAGCGGAGGAGCATATTCACGTATTAGCGCCGCGGACGCCGTCGCCCAGTACGCTCTTCTTCGCCGGCTCACTCATAGTTTTCACAGATTACGCATTTTAGAGAAGAAGAAGACGGACCGCTTCAGTGCGTTTGAAGGCCGCGCGCGTGCATCTGAGGCATCTGCTCCCTCGAGGCCATCGTCTTCATCAACCGCGTCTGGCTCCGGAGCGAGCAAACCTCTCCCGTCGAAGAACGTACACACCGTCACGCCTGCATTGAAACCTGCCGCCTCTGCCGTCGTCGGCAAACTCGCTGCTTATACCAAACAGCAAGGTGCCAAGGCTGAAAACGAGGAAGAGATCGCCCGGTCAGCCGGCTTCGCCGACGCCCCGGCGTGTATGAACATCGCACAGCGAGACGAAAATCTTGCCATCGTAGAGGAGCTACAAATGGGAACGGGGGAGCGAGAGCATCAGCCACCTCCGGGCGACCCGGCGTTCAATACGCTCGAGCCCAACTCTGGCATCCGCTTATCGTGCGTCGTGTTCTATCCCCACGTTCTCGCTGTGGACTCTAAACTGATGGCGTATAATGTCGCACAGGTCGCGAGCGCTACCCTACGAAGACTTCCAAGAGCACCTCCGCGGCCGCTTCTTCCTCTCCCCCTCCTTGCTTTACTCCGTCGTGCGCCTCCTTCCCAACCGCGCGGGGTACGATGTGCCCGTTCCCGGGGACTGGGTCACGGTCGCCGTCGTCGCCGAGCGTGGGCCGATCAAGTTCAGCCGAGCACCGGTGGGCGCGCCCCGGGAGGAGGACGAGAGCGCGGTGAGGGAGGACGGCGCGATTCAGGTCCGTCCTGCGCACGTCGCGTCGGGTGACCAGAAGCAGGACAAGGGCAAGCAGAAGCAGAAGGAGGACAAAGAGGCGGGAAAGCCGCACGGGAAGAAATACGTGTCGATCAAGCTGGTCGACTTCGGCGCGCGATCGGCGGCGTCGTCGAATTCGAAGGCGACGATTCGGGGCGACGCGTTCTTGACGCTTCTCCTCTTTGAATCGGACTCGGTGGAAACCGTCGAGCACGATGAGGAGGAGGAGGATGGGCGAAAGATGAAGGCGAAGGCGAAGGGCAAGGCGAAAGAGAAGGTGTACAAGGGCGGGAGCCGGGGCGCGTTCGAGAAGATGGCCAAGTTGAAGGAGGGCGCGGTGGTCGCGCTGCTGAATCCGCGGATACTCAAACCGTTCCAGGTTCGTCATCACGTCGTCCGACGGGTGTGTATCGAGTGCTGACCGGGTTTCGGCTTGCAGCGCTCGGCGGACGACCCGCATCCTGTCACTAACATTCTTGCGCTCACGCCCGAGTCGGCCGCGTCCATCGAGATCCTCGGCACCGCGCGCGATCTCGGGATGTGCACCGTCACGAAGCGGGACGGCAAGACGTGTGGTGCGTGGGTGGACAAGCGCGTCGCGGACGTGTGCGAGTGGCACGTCCAGCACGCAGTGCAGAGCCGGCGGGCGGCCAGGCCCGAATTCTCCCTCGGGTTCGTCCGTCTCTCTGCGCGATATATGGAGGGCATTGGGCAGGATGAGGCTGACGATACGATGTCAACAGAACCTCGGGCATGTCTAGCAAGGCAACGCATAAGCGCAAACACGACTACGACCCTCGCAGGCAGTGGGGCCTCAAGCCTGAAGATAACCATCTTGACGGCGGCGGGGCGACGTACGTCGTGTCCGGCCATGTTGTGTCAGGTTCCGGCTCTGGCGTGGGGGAGGGGGGCTTGGGCGCGGGGCTGTTCGTGGGCGAGTCTTTGGGGCGAGAGGTGCAGGCCAAGGCGGCGAGGAAGAAGGCCGGGAGGGAGGCGGAGCGAACGTTGAAACTCTTGGTGGAGCGAGATCGGGAGGGGATGCGAGCGGTTGTTAGGGCACGGGAGGCGGTCACTACTCGGAAGGAGAATGCGAAGGACACAAAGGGAAAGGAGAAGGAGAAGGAGAAGGAGAAGGAGAAGGCGGTGGAGAATGACGGTGCGGTGAAGGGGAGTGAGTCAAAGAAGGGAGGGTATTCTGCGGCGATCATCAAGAACCTTGGGTTCGACCCGGCGCTCAAAGCGGGTCACGGCGCTTCCGAGCAGTACAAGGAGGACGAGAAGGTACGGCTTCTGGCCTCAATTGAGTCATTAATTGTATTGACGCGATCCCATAGCTGAAGCTGCTGAGCGCCTTGCAATCCTCGCGTACGGCCGCAAACATCGAGCTGGGACCTAGACCAGGAAAGCGGATCAGATCAGCCGTTATGGCGCCGCCCAAGGGCAAAGAGCAGAATAAGGGCCTGAAAGAGAACGTACCTAGAAGGAGCGCCGCATTCGGGCGTCCTGTTGGGCTCATCAGCGGCGACACGGAGATTGATCTGGATGAGGATAGCAGTGAGGTGGAAGTTGAAGCTGCAGTGATGGCGGGTGTGAAGTAGAGTCTGCAGCCGAAGATGCATTCGCATGAGACGCCTTCTTTGACGCTTGCACTGCTGCTCTCTGACCCTTGACACTGTAGTGCCGCCGTTCTGTATCCGTGCTTCTGGTCCTACGCCACAACCTAAACTTGTATTACCACATGAGGTGAGCACAGCCACTGGGTCAGAAGTCCAAGCGGTGGCCGTGGCGCTATCGCAGTGATGCGGCATGGCGCCTCCCCGTCAACCAAATCACTCATCGGGACCTCCCGATTGGTCCATACATATAATGGTGTCTTGTGGCCGAGGCATCCCATATGGCATCCACTGAGCCGTCGACGGCGTGCGCGCCGGGACTGAAGGTCATCGGGCCGGGCCTTGGAAGGACCGGGACCGGGTCGCTCAAGCTTGCTTGTGAGTCTGCATCTAGAGTCTAAACGGAACATATTCGTGAGCCGAAAGAAATGTAGTGGAATAGCTAGGTTACAAGGTTCTGCATAGTGAGTCTACACTCCAGTGATTGCAGTGCTTATGTTGACCGACAAATCGCCCATCTAGCAGTGTCGGAGCACCCGAAGAATATCGAACACTTCTCGTAGCAATGGCCCGTGATATACAAGAGTGAGTGACAGCAGGTCGTGCCCACCGCCATCATGCCCTTACAACATCATATTGCACTGTAGAGGTGGACGAAGGGGTCGTCACGCGGGCGGACTGGGACAAGCTATACGGAGACTACACCGCGTGCACCGATTATCCGTCCGCCATGTTCCCTCGCGAACTCCTTATCGCGTATCCTGACGCTAAGTTCATTCTCACTGTACGTGATGCGCAGAAATGGAAAAAGAGCAACGAGAAGGCAAGTCGCAATCCTCTCTTTTGTATACGTATCGATGCCCTCATATTGACCCGTATAACAGACTATCTACCGCCCCGCCAGAATACCCCTCCTGCAACTGACACAGCTCGTCGGCCCACCGCGGTCAAAGATGATCCGACCCATCTCGAAGCGGATCTGGAACGTGTTCTTTAAGGGCGATTTCGAGAAGAATGCGATCAAGGTGTACGAAGCGCACAACAAGCTTTGCAAGGATGTCATTCCACCAGAACAGCTGTTGGTATTCACCGTGAAGGAGGGCTGGGCACCACTGTGCGCTTTCCTGGGCGTGCCGGTCCCTGTGCGTTTATTCCTTCGTACACCAAAGGGTTAGCGATGATCATTTCACGGTTCACCACTTTGTCTGGTAGGACATGCCGTTCCCGCATGATAATGAGGGCAAGGTGATGGCGGCCCAATTCGACGCGTGGGAGAAGAGCTTAATACGCCTCTTCGTCAAGCAATATGTGGTGCCTGCTGTTGGGTTGTTGGCGGTCGCAGCGGCAGTCGGACTGAACCGACGGCGGGTTCGTGACACAATGACCGAGCTCTGGGTGCATGTGCGGAGATAGCTTTAGGAGTCCTGTACCGTCACAAAAACGCGGTGTTGTCCGTACTCGTCAGCCAATCACGACATGGATGACGTTCGCGCTACTTGCCCGCAGTAGACTGTCCTGGCTGATATAGCACTGTCTAAGGGCCTGTGTTTTTCATTGGTCCCGCGGACTCTCACAGCTTCAGAGGGGCTGTCAGCATGTTCCGCACGGCGACCAATGAGGTCCGCGTAGACCGCGGAATGCTAGGACCAACTTCACAGCGTGTTCATTCGATCGAGTGAACGAGCAAGGTGTTTTCCTATGTATGTAGTACGTATATGGCTTGTCGGTATCAGCGCGAAAAACGTGGCAAAGATGCGTTTCTTCCGGATTTGGTAAGCAAAGCCAGCGGATAATCCGGCTTCCGCCGCGCGACGTTCGATTTTCGCGGCGCCGACCTCGAACCCCGACCCGGCGACGGTTGGCCCTGCCTGTATTACCCGGCGCGCCCGCCCGTCCAAAGATGTTGCGAGGACGCCGGGGACGGTGAGTCGGGGGAGGGGTGATAGAATGGTCGAGAAGGTGCAAGGGGTGGCTGATGAAAGAAATATACAGAATGGGGAAGCGCTGGCTTATTGGTTCCTCACGGCTATATTCGAGACATGTAGCGATTCGGGCTCGGTGTGCGTGCCAGGCGTCCGGGTGGGAGGGGCACGGCCACATCCCGCGCTTTCCTTCCCCCTCTCTTTCCCCCAAGCGCCCCGCGCAACCCGGCGATTTAGTACAGCTACCCGCCTACTTTTATCCTCGCTCGCCATTCATCATCCTGTCCCCGCGTGCCGCTCGGATATCTCCTTTTAACCGACTGATTCAGGATGAGCGGCGTCCTAGACCAGAACGAGGAGGTTATCGATGTCGCCTACCGACTCTCCTCTCTCTCGTATTTCCTAGAAGCTGTCCGCTCACTTTCTCGCCTCCTGCAATCCGCACCGCCGAATTTGCCGGCGCGCCAGAAGAAGGTAATTGTCGTTCGTTTTCGCATACAGGGTTTTGGCTGAATGCAGAAACCTATCTCTCCCGCGCGCCGCTGACTAGGTCATCACTCTCGTCGAGGTAGGTTTGCGTTATGGCACCCACGTTCTATTAGCGCAGTAGACCGATGACTGCATAGGTAGCCCGCCGGACGCTTTTGAGGGCCGGCGTGGTATTACATACGTTCGCAGCCTGCCCTCCACACTTAGAGGGCCATAAACGAGCCTACCTCGAGCTTCTTACGCACCTGAATGCCATCAAACCTACCGTGACTCCAGACGCTCTACGAGGCAAGTTTCTCCAGGCGATATCATCCTGGCTCACGTTGATATCTCATCTGACGCGCTAACCTTGCAGTCCGCGTGGACCGCCTTTGTCTGCCTTTATTCACGGAATTCCATATCGAGCGAGCCTCCGCAGCGCCGATGCCTGGGATGGCATCCGATATGTCGCAGGGCAGTAGCAGCCAGCGGCAAGCACTTTCGCGAGATAAACCGCTGCATGCCGCAGTACGCCACCCTTCCGCCCGGCACGGAACCATGCCCGGTGGGTCTTCCCTAAATAAATACCGGGTATATAAGATAGAATCTCTGACAGGTGCATGGCTATGTAGCACCGGACGCATTCACCGGATCGCGTATATGTAGCACGGACGTGCTGGGGATCGGTCCTCGATCACAGCTCCACGCCGCCAGCGGCGACGTAGCCGCGCATACCGTCTCCAAACAGCTACGCTCAGGCGGAAGAAATCTGTCGAGTAGGGCCGTGGTTATGCTATCGGAGGACGAGGACGATCCGTGGCTCAAGGAGGTGGACGCGTCCGCCTGGTTGAAGGGTCCGTCGGCGGCAGACTCGGACGACGCGTCTGAGGCGGACACGGTGCGATATTCGCACGGGGAGGAAAGCGACAGCGGCAGCAGCGACGAGGAGGATGTGACCCCGCCGCGGTACAAGAAGGGAAAATTCGGCATTTTTGCGTCGGCCGGGCGTACGTGGGGCAATGCGCGCGGGCGGCATTAGTGCTTGGACGACGTTTGGCTACCCTTTTTGTTCGGCCGCAGACCACTCGCAGACGGTGAGTGCGTTTCTCTCGTGGTCAGGAAGGGATACTGACCGCTCCTAATAGCGGAGCAGAAGTGCTATCGAGCAGCGCGCCAACGGCGTGCTGCCATGGATGCACCCGTTGCTCCCGGACGGATCACAACGAGCCGGCGTGGGAGCTTGGTGATGAAATACACGTTCCGTGATTGGTGACGAGCAACAACATCTGTTGGCACAACAGCGCAGGGCGGTAGACATCTGCATGGACTGACTAGACGCTGGCGATTGTAATGAAAGCGGTTATTTCTGGGCAGCGCTGTGTGATCGGTATCAGTCTTGTGTATGCCTCGCGCGGCCAGGTATATTTACGACGATCGTACATGAACTAGGACGTACAAAATCAATTGGAATGCAGCAATGGCGCACAAACCACGTCGCATCGCATATGATGACCAATATATTGGATGCTTTGTCTTGCTCGAGGCACCCGACTAGTCGGAATACAGACCGCCCTTCTCGGCAGGTACTCCTTGATCTCCTCTCATCTGACTTTCACCTCCAGAGCCACCTGTTCCGGGAATGGAGTGGGCGGGAGCAGCTATGCAATAGGTCAGCCTACCGCACGACTCAATCTAAGGGGGGTCACCGACGTTCGGGGTCGGACTTGGGGTAAACCTAACAAGTCATTCAGCGGTCAACTTTCGAGGATTTCGCACACGGTGAACGGCCCGTACGTTTCCTGGGTTTTCCTTCGAAGGAGTCTCAGGAGCTTTACCGTGTTCGCTGCCGAGCTGGTTCTCAGGGAATTTGGCGTCGGCTGCGTGGAGCAGACGCGTTTGCATCGTATGAGCAATACTTTTCTGATGATGGGTCGAACAGACACCAACCGTCTCTCATCGACATTTGATCGGTAATTTGATTTTGGATGCACTGAGGATAAGTCGAGGATGAAGGAGGTGGAAAGGATGGTCGTTCGCCGGCCGCTTTTGCTTCGACATGGACGCGAGCATCAGATGACGTCATGAGCGTACTCTACGTCGTGACCCACGTGCACATAGACACGGAAGATTCCGGCACGCCGCTGAGCGCCGCTCTGCTCAACGCTTGAGCGCTTGAGCCTTGATGGAACTCCCATCATGAAAGGGGTTGGAGGATATCACCAGAGAGTAAACAATGCTGATCCACGTACGCGACCAGTGCCGCAGCGTATGTTTGAAGACTGTGCGTGCGGCGAAGAGCCCCAGGTTGGAGCACGAGTGACGGAAGGTTATGGCCAACGAGGATAGACCTTCTCGCTCAAGCAGCTTCCGCATGGGCCTAGTTGAATGGCCTTGATACCTAGCGAATCTGGCTATGTCAATGGCGAAGCTTGCATAGCAGGTCCCATGTAGACCAAGATGAATCCCATAAGCGGAGCGCTTGCACTCTCGCGATCGACACCGGTCTTCCGATCAACAACCTAACTTGTCTTTCTGGGAGGACTTGCAGACCTGTATCAAAGCAGAATGTCATTTCATGATGAAAGAGTCGGCTTTAGTCAGGTGGGGGGCAGGAACTCCATGTTGTGATGCAAGGGCGATAGTGGAGACCGATTGGATGCAAGTGCGAAATATAGTTTCGATGACAATTCCCGCCCGGTACAAAACGCCTAGTCTAGTGGATACCGGTAGCGGCAGGTAACGCAGCCTCCTCATCTCTCCCTGTGAGACAGCTTTCAGTCCAGTTTATCCGGCACAGTAGGGGGCCAATGAGCGTACCCTCCAGGAACTTCTGCATGAACGTCTTCTGTGTCCTCGCCCGCGGGTTCAACAAGATGCCCAAGAGCTGATCCGGCATCTTCCAGCAGTTCACCGTCTCCTGGTACTCCTGCCTTCCCTTAAGCAACAGGACGTCGATGACCTTCGGGTCAGAGACGTGGCGGTTCTGCTCGAACTGTGCGCGAATCGCACGGCGGACGTATGTTGGTGAGACGTCGAGGGCGTAGAGAGTGCAGATCTCCGGGGCCTATCAAAGCGTTGAAGCGGGTTCAGGACAATTGTCAGTCGAATGTATGCGGGCCGGGAGTATTCGGCGGGTACGCACGGAACGGTACCACAGCCTGTAGAGCTCGACGACACGCCTGCGCGCCTCTTGCGGGCTGCTCGATGTGCGCGTGGTTTGCGCAAGACGGGCGGGTATCGTGGTCATCGTAGTCCAGGGAGAGCCGGCGTGGTTGTGGGCTCGAGCCGGGTTGGTCGGTCGCGGTGGGAAGGAAACAGCGCGTGCAGCGGGTCTTTCGGCGACCACGACCACGACCACGACGACCTCGTTCGTCGCCCCGGCGGGCTCAACATCCAGCACCACAAGCTATATTATTCTATTACAATCGATCGTAAAACCTTATACCGGCTCACCGGTACGTGTCTATCTGTCGATACGGCGGGGACCAGTCAGACTTTCTTACCTTTTTTATTATTATAGATGCCGACACTGCATGCGGAATTTGCTCAGACGCCTGCCAAATGGTGCTGCTAACTCCTCGACGCCCAAGCAGGGATTCCAGTCCGCAGTGAGACCCCGCCGGCCCACCGTCTTCAAGAAACTCCCGTCGACATGGGTCAGCGCGCGCGGACTCGACCGTCCTATCAACGAATTTACCCGGCTCGTCCACCGTCAGACGCGTGACGAAGCATGGTTTATGGCGAACCGAGTCATTCGCGCGAACAAGATGCTGGCACGCCATCGGGCGATGCGGGACGCGAACGTGGATTCGGCGGAATGGTGGAGGTGGAAGGCGGTCGTGTTCACCAAGGATATGCAACACGCGTTGTCAGAGCTGTCGAGGATGGGGATTGAAGTGCAGGGAGACGTGAGCGCGGTCATAGAGTGGGGACGTCGCCCGATGCCTCAGTGGAAGAACCCGGTTCAGGACCCGCCTGCCTGGATCGTCATCCATCTCCTCTCCACCAAAGTCCACACCCCCGAACACGCCCGACAAGCCTATAGCCTCGCGGCCTACTGTATCCCGTCGTTGTCTCCTTCAATACGGCCCTCGCTCCTCGTGCTAGTGGCACACCACCTCGCCAGGTTTGGCCTCCTACCCCCTTTGCGGGCGCTCGTTACCTCCTTTCTCACAGAGACTATAAGTCAGCCCACATTCCACTTCAACTCCCTTCTTCGCGCTTTATCGCGCTTACACGCGTCGCCCGCATCCGCCAAGCTCTCCGTCACGATCCTGGAAACGATGACCTCGAGGAAGCTTCGTTTATATCCACACACATACAACGCGTTGCTGTCGGACCGATACCTGACGGTGGAGCTTACGAGGATGCTCCGAGACAGGATGAAGGCCGAAGGAACGGAGCCTAGCAGGAAGCACCTTGAGGCATACCTGCGCGTCTTCGCCACCCACGGAGCTATCCACGACGCAGAGCGGTTTCGGGAAGCGGTGCGACAGCTAGATAAAGATCGGCGATCCAGGCGAAGGAGGCGAAGTCATGCAGACGAAGAAGACCGGACGGTCAGACGTTCGGACACCATGTACCTGCGCGCGCTCCAAAACGATAAGGCGTCTGCGTTCCGATACCTCCATGACCTAGCGGCCATAGAACAGCGCAACAGCGCGACGCTTTCTGCGAAAGCGACGGCACTCGCACGTCGTGCAGCCAAGTTCAAGAACCGCCCTCGAACCAACTCACCCCGGGTTCTCTCTAAGAACAAGCGCTCGCTCGACATCTACGACTGGACCACGGCGCTGTACGTCGCCTCCTGCGATAAGTCGACGCCTGGGCGCGAACTGCTCAGACTCTTCGACTTCGCGCAGACAAGGGGCGGGGTGTTCACCCCTACTGTCGCGACCTACACCACCCTCATCAAGGGTCTCCTCGAGAGGCAGGAACTGGGCCCCGCGCTGGAGATGTGGAGCCGGCTGCGCCAGTCCAAGCTTCGGCTCGACAAACACTCCATTGCGGTTGGCGTGCAACTGCTGACGGAGTCCGGCCACTTGGCCCGCGCGTGGAGGCTGCTCGAAGCCGCGTTCACCGCCAACAACAAGCTCGTCAATCTGACGACCGTCAACGGGTTTATGCAGTCACTGTCGGCAGTCGGCCGCCCGGACGTGGTCTTCGCGTTGTGGGACCACATGACCGCGCTCTTCGACCTCCGGCCGGATGCCGTGACGCTGGACATATTGCTCGACGCGGCCCGGCGAGCGGCGCGGTTCGACGACACGATCACGGGCGCGCTCGCGAATTTGCAGCTCAAGATGCCCTTCCGCCAACGGTCGGAGCTTCCGTTCGGACCCAATTCTACGCGAAGCCATTCGGTCGACGCGATCGACGCGCTCTTCAAGGATGGAGCGAAGGTGACAGGCCTTTGGAGGGACGTGCCTGCCTGGCAACGCGCGCGCCAGATCTTCCGGCAGGTCGTGCTGGGCAATTGGCCGAAGCTCATGGCGGTTAGCCCGCCTGCGATGCCCGTTCGACCTTCCGGAGAATACTCGTCCCTGGGAATACGCGAGATCGCCAGCGCGTTCGTAGGTCCGTCGTCGGGCAATGCGAAGGGGCCGACCGTGCGCCCGCCGTATCTGCCCGCAATGCAGCATCTTGCGCTTCAAGGGCTTTACCCGTTGGGCGCATATCCCCACATTTATCCGACGGACAGGACCTTCCGAGCGTACATACGCCTCATGGGCGCGCGTGTCTACGCGGGCGACGGCGTGGAGTACGCGTCGGAGATACCCCTAGCTTTGGCCTGGATGAGGGAGATGGAGGTGAAGTGTAGTAAGGAGACCCTGGCGCTCGTGACAGTGCTGTGGGCAGAGGTCGGGATGAGGGCACCGCTCGTTGAAAACTGGCTGGCGAGGAAGGGCGGGCCGGGTGTGGATGAGAGGAGCGAGTACGCAAAGCTGATGGCTTGGATGAAGGAGTGGGTGGGCCAGGAGGGGATGCCGAGCGAGAGAGATGTTGGGAAATGGATTGCGGTCTTGAGTCAAGGGAGCGATTAGGGACGTCGCAGTTGTAGTGAATGAATGTGAATAGCCCGCACTGGAATTATTCAGGTAGACCGTAGTGACATCGTAGTGGTGACCGGATAGGGGCGAAAGATCTCAGCCACCGACGCGTCGCAGAACACGTCGCGTCGGCCCCAGAGGTGGCTTTCCTTTAACCCTCACCTTGGTTTCGACTGCAACGTCCTATCTCCCCTATCTCTCCGCGATCACCTCACTTGAATCTCAGCTGCATCTTGTCCGCCCTTCAGATTACCTTGGGCCGTTCCTTGCCAGCTGAGCACCTTAGCGCCTCCGATCCCATTAGCTCTGTTCGCAGAGCAACGAACTTTGATTTATCATGTCGATCGTCACCATACGGGTACGCTAACTGTATTTTTGCTCCCAATACTCACATTGATCATCGATCGCGCAGAACGTAGAGTTCTTAAACAACCCCGCGCGGTTCCTCGATCCCTACCGGTTCCGTGTCACCTTTGAGTGCATAGCGCCATTACCTGACGGTGAGCGAAGTTTTGAGAACTAACATCTATGGGTACTCCGGTACTAATGTACCTACTGTTCAGATCTAGAATGGCGACTCATCTATGTCTCCTCTCCCGGGAACGAGGATCTTGATCAGGAACTGGACGACTGCTTGGTTGGCCCCATACCAACAGGTGCGTTTGGCTCTATTACCCTATTGTTATGCCCCTGAACCGTCGTGGGGACTGTTTCCAGGCGTCAACTCCTTCGAATTCGAAGGTTCTTCGCCAAATCCGAACACCATACCTACCGAGGACGTGCTCGGAGTGGCAGCCCTTATCCTGACCGGATCGTACAAAGAACAGGAGTTTGTGCGCGTTGGGTACTATCAGGTGCGCCATCTCCACATCGTTCACAAGAGCCCGAACGAATACTGCTGCCCATAGAATACGGAGTACGACTCCGATGAGTTGAAAGAGAATCCGCCCAGCAAGATTCAATTCGACCGGCTAGTACGGGACATCTCAGAAAAACCGCGAGTGACACGATTTCAGATAAAATGGCAAGCATGCTCGTGCTCCCATCGCCATTCACCGCCGACAGCTGACGCGACGTGATACAGGGATGTCGCTCCCCCGCAGCAGCTGCAAGGCGCTGTCGGCGCTGCAAACTCGGCTGCAGTTCCGAGCGCGAACGACTTGGAGGGTGAAGACGACGGCGACGTACAGATGGACGGGCCTAACGGCGCGCCCGCGCAGACGGTATAGCCATTGTATCGTAATGAGGAAGAAGCGATACGGGTGTATCACTATTCGACTTTTCATTTTCGGTGCTATCGAGGCTATTCAACATCTCTCACTGGACTGTATCGCTATGAGGCTCGTGTGAACGCATTCCGTATTACGACAGTTGGCGACACCGGAATGGTCGGATATTCAGATATTTGATCGTGTTCAGATTATGACAGGTGCATATATTAATTGGCGTGTATTCACGGCGAGCGAGCGAGGAGGACAATATGCCGGAGAGAGGGAAATGCAGGAATCGTGTGAGCGAGTGTGGTGATCGGAAGGATAGACGAGGAATACACAAGTGCAGAGGCGATGCATCCTGGACGCGCTACTGCGATGGAGCTGGTGGTAGTGAGGGGTCCTGATTTACGACGCGATATAGCTGTCGTATACTGGGCAGAGGTCCTTCCATTGAGCTAAACAAGGAGTCACCGTTGAGACAGTCTAATCACTTCGAGAATGGGATGAAAGCATACTCGTGGGCGCATCCACAGTGGGGGTGTCTGCGGGATCTTCGGCGAAGACCTGGCGACGCGAATGTAAGAATAAGCCGGTAAAACTCCAAGGGAATACGTACGATGGCCAAACCAGCGTTGAAATGCCAATCGATGTGACAATGCAGGAGCCAAGGTCCCGGCTGGAGACGATATTAGCATTGTCCTCATTTTATGGCAAAAGACAAGCGCACGTTATCGGTGGTGAAGCGAATAGTAACCAGATCGCCGACGGTACCGGCAGACACAGTATCTCGCACGGGCGGGTCGATGTAGTTATACGACGAATTCGACGCACTGCGGATGACCGAGAACTGGTGACCGTGCAAGTGCATCGGATGCTGAGCGACGCATGTGTCAACCACCGAATAGGGACCGATCAAACAATTGGGACTCACGGGACCGCCGACAGCGCCGACAAGCTGAGTAAAGGACACTTGGATAACCTTGTTCTTCGGCACGTAAAATACGCTCCCCTTGGGCAAAAGCTCGGAGGCATTCGCTCCGTTCAGAATCTGAAGGAGAACGGGTACGGAAGGCCGTTCATACTCGTCCCCGTTGACGGTGAAGTGGAGGGTGAGCGGGTTGATCTCGATGTCGAGGTTGATGTTGACATCGGCGCCGTCCTTGGTCGCGCTGCCGGGGACCGCAGCAGCGGTAAGAGGCTATCAAGATGGAGATTAGCAATTATCGACGGAGCGCATCGACGTTGTTTCATACCTTGAGGGCCTGCTCATTGAGACGGTTCGAGCTGATGTCAGACGTGGTGGGCTCCTCGGCAGGGGCACCGGAGTAGCGGAGGATAGCGCTGTTGAGGCCGCCAATCGTGCCGACCGGGGTAAGGTTGCTCACAGCGCGAATCCCTGGGGCACGTTTATAAATGGATATGGTATCGAAGACATAAAACCGCTCGTACAGTAGTTATTGACGGGTTGGTTTGCATTCAGCTGGGACGGGGCGTCAAATTCGCCTCGCCCTCTGTTAACGAGAATGAAAACATACGATGAACGAATAACGTTGAGCTAGCTATCTATTCAGATGACTATTCTCGGATGGTATATACGACAAACTCACCAGCGTAAATCTGAATGGAATCGACCGTGTACGGTTGGACGTTAACTCCGTCCACTTCAATAACCGTCATGGTATGCGAGTCAATGGACCATATCCAATTTGGGTGGCAGGCCTGGAACGTGTAAGCTCGACTATTCCAGATTATGAGGTTATCGCAAACATACGATAGCGACCAAACGCATTCGGTACCTTAACCAAGATAGATAGAGGTAAATGCCGATCATCATCTGCGGCGACTCCACTTACCGTTTGCCTTTCGTCACCGTGATAACAGCCAGGTCCGCGTCGAGCGTTTCGAGCGATCGACCTTTACCATTGATCAAGGTGGCGTCGGGAAGGCTATGGACAGCCTGAGTGATTGGACCTACAAGCAATATGTATTGGAACTTACGCCACAGCACCGGCGCCGAGTGTCTCCAGCGGCGAGACAATGTGATACCTATGATCTATATGGTCACCTCTGCATACTATTTGAAACTGCGTATTCACCAGTCTGCCAGAGTGACGATCGTGTTCACTATGTGGGGCTTAATACATTGTTGTGGGAATTTGCGTCATACACTCACAATCGTCGACGTCGTACAAACTGGCATGTGGATCGTTTGTGTCGTAGATGATCTGATGCGAGCGTGAGGTGGCTCGTCCAGTATGACCGTTGAGCGACGCTCACCAAAGGACCACGGAGGCCATCGCAGTACTGGGTCTTGTAGTGCGAATGATACCAGAACGTACCGGCTTGGTCTGGAACGCTGAATTTGTACTCGTACGAATGGCCTACGACGACGAAGATTAGCCATGGCATGACGATGAAAGCAAGGTAAGAACCAGGTATGATAGGGCATTGGGTCACCATGTCTACGCCGTCCTGATAGTTGGTCGATTTCTGGAATAATCTGAGGACGGAGATCAAGATGGAGGCTCAACCGAGCCAAAGCTCTGAAATGCGTACCCATGCCAGTGCTATATGGAGTTGATGAGAAATGGCGCTTACATACAGATAAACTGACTCACGATGCTTGTCGGGAGGTCCATAGCCGTATCAGAGAGCTGATTCTTGACGGTGAGCTCAAACTTTCCACCCTGTGGAAGACCTTAGCAGCGTTACTGGGTCGCCGAACGACCAGGGCGCACCTTGTACCCGATCAGGGGAGGGGCAGGAAAAACTCCGTTCGCCACGACCGTGCTGGAAGGGGATGTCACCTGCCGTACAATCGTTGGCCTTGACCGATCTCACTCACTCGCGCGAGTAACCATCGGGAGCTAACTTCTTGTTCTGCACCGTGATCGTCGACGTCGCCTGTACGATTGAAGTAGTCGTTGCCGCCGAAGGATTCAGAGAGAGGGTGGCAGCCGAGCCCGATGCTACCAAGTATAGCAGAACGGAAGTGAATAGATCGAGCATGGTGGCGACCGCAAGGGGGAGGCTCGAAGAGTCGATGTCGTCGAGCGACCAGTCCCCGGACGTTCAGCAACAGCGCTCCAGAAAGTGTGGACGGCCCCCGATTTTGACGACATGGAGGGCAGTGATATATATACCGGTTGGAACGAGGACGTTACGTCGATGTGATACCGCGTGGCATTGTTATGGGGTGGGTACAGGCCGAAGGCAAATTCGTTCGGGTAAGAAGATTGGGCAAGCCGTTGTTTGTCCGCCGTTTCGATGGCATGGGGGAATGTCTGTGCCTAGCAAGAGCTACGCATGCTTTCCGTGTCGTTAACCTCCCTCGGTAGTGCAGACTTCGGCAAAGGATGGCCAGGATTGCGTCCACATGTCCACTTCAGGATGTGTGCGAGACATATCCATCAACAAATCAGCGGGGTCGACGGAATGTTGATGGCAATCATTCGGGGTCCGTACCCGGCACGTTTGATGATCCAGCCGGACGATTTCCTGCTGTCATTTGTTTGCAGCTGTATGTTTTGTTGGCCGGGAAGCGAATTCGCGCCAATCGATGATGTTCGTAACGCCTTAACTTGTGCACAGCTAGACATCCACAGAAATGTTTAAGCTGTGTACATCCAGATCCTCCTACCCAGTATGCGGTCCCGAACAACTGGAGGGCGATTAGAGATGTACCGGATTACATGTGCGATCCTGGTCCAGGCCAGGGCCGAACGCGGGGTGGATCCGGCGTCGGAGGTCCCGTTGATCCGTCGCTGAGCCTGGCAGTTCAATTTGCTCGATCAGGGGTATGGCCTCAAGGCCCCTACGTCATCGTATTGAGGTAGACTTTTGGGTGTGGTGGAACGCTGCAACAGGCGATTCGAGCTTGATAGACGCGAGCCCTGGAACAAGCTGTTCACCACAGGTCAGCAGTGATTTGGTCGCCTGTGCCTCATAAGACTTGTGCGCAAGACGATGAGCAGGCAGTAGCACGTTGAAGATAATGCCGAGTATGAAAGGCACAATGTTCCATGAAGTCGGCCACGATGCATGATGGACGATTGGACACAAAAGGTAAGACCTACCTGGATCCATGTCAATCCCTGCACAACCATCAACATTTCAACGGTGAACACGCGAGGCCCTGTGCCCGCCGCTTGGAGTTCCCTCGATCAGGCGCACCTCACTAACACTTGTCTCGAACCCATGTACTGACACGCGACGACGGCTGAAGTGGGCCGCCGCTGGGTAATGTATTGCACATAGTAGCACATACATGTACCTAGTTTACCTGCACCAGTGCTGAAGCGGCGTGTCGGCTGTAAAACAGCTCACGGGGGCCGTGGATGCACTGTGTGCGCCAAGCCGTGCGTATTGACGTGCGGTGCGGCAACCGGTTGTTCCGCTATTGGGACCGCGCCGGAAATATACCTACCTACCTACCTACCATGCCCAAATAGGTCCAAATCTGCAGATACACTCTATTACGGAAGTCATGCTTATGTGCGTAGTTGACGCCTTGAGGAATCTATCATGAAAAGACAAAGCAGGCAAGGAAAACTGCGGCCACGTTACAATGACGCGGTGCAAACACGGTGGTTCACACGTTGTCGGCTTCTGCCGCTATTGCGCGAACAACCCCTGATCAGAATGGGCGAATTTCCTGTCGTCATCTTAGCGCCTTGCTTGGGTTTCATTGTTGCATAGCCTATCATTCATGCCTCAGGAACGATCTGCTTCGCAGTAAAGTTAGGAAGAATGAATTAAGGAATGCATTTTCATCGGATTCTTATCGACACGGTCAATCACAAGCACTGTTACCATGTTCAGTACGGGAACGCGAAGAAAATAGCATCTACGTACCTGGGAGTAGTAAGCGTTCAAGACTGTGCATGTCGTTCCGGATGCGCAAACCGTGCTGCCGGTGTAGCCTGTGGATGCAAAAGCTCTTCAGCAACCGCGAGCGCAAGACGAACATGAACGTACGACGTACCGATGCCACCACATTGGCCATAATGGGCAACGGGGCTGCCCGTGGCGGTAGGCGCCGAACTTGTAGTCGAGACCGTCGTAGCGGACGAAGACGAGGCCGGGGCCGACGACGTGGCAGATGCCGACGACGAGGACGACGAAGGGCCGGACGGCGCCGTGCCCGCGTTCGGGCCCGCCGGGCTCGTCGTCAGGCTTCCGCTTTCGACGTAGATGCCGGACCAGTAGTAGTCCTCCGCGGCGGCGGAGGTGCCGCCGTTGGGCAGCCTGAGCACGCCGATGTGCCAGTCGGCCGAGTTGGTCGAGGGCGAGGTCGAGACGGGTGCGTGGACCTGGGTGAGCGGGTCGGAGCCTTCCGAGTACCAGAGCGCGACGGTGCCGGCGGAGAAGTCGATGTCGTATGCGAAGTTCATCCAGACGTTGGGAACGAGCGGCTGCGACCATTGCGTCTGCGAGTTGATGTCCCAGCGGAGGGCGTTGTCGGTCGTGCCGGCTTCCCCGGAGATGAGGCCGTACTTCAGCTCGGTGAAGTGACTCTGGCAAGGAGATGAAGGGTCAGATAGAGCTGAACGGATGTGTCCAGTGAGTGCTGACCTCGAAGAAGGCGATCTGGTGCTCATAGCCCGCGTTCGGTGGGTTCACATCGGAAGTTTTGAGGGAGAAGTGGTAGTAGAGATGACCAGTGCCGAGGTTAGCTGAGGTCTGGGGTATGATCTCCGTGCGCTCCATGGTCTGACCTATCATGCCTAGAGTAAGACAGCCACTCTACCCTACGCGCTGACGTGCGTACCGTTCCAGAACGATGTACCATCGATAGTAGTCTTAATTCCTTGGGCTTCGCTAGTGTCCGCGGGATTCTTGTAGTCGGCCGAGACCGCTAGGTACTCAGACGTCGCGCCAGGGCCATGAATGTACCATTGCCAAGGTTGTATCTCGTTTGAGAAAGACCCTGGAGACGGCGAAACACGAGTTAACGTTTGCGGTCAAGTGTTTGGACGTATACACTTACACTTGTCGAAGTCCGCGACAGTGAAAGACGAGTTGAAGAAACCATTCCATAGAACAGTGCCAGCGTGCGCGGAAGTCACAAAGGCAAAGGCAGCAGCGATGGCGTACTTGACCATGGTGGACGACGATCCCGAAATGAGGGGTGGGCGCCCACAAAATGACCCGCCGAGGTCCTGTTATACTCCGGCACAGAACGAACACAAGCGTGACGGGAGTAGATGAGGGACCTTCTTCGGGTAAAGCATACATCGTTGTCGGATGTGGTGCTGCCCAGGTGACGGCTTCCGGTCACGAACGGAAAAGCGTCGGAGGTTGGCTAGTCCTCCTGTTCATCGTTTATACTCCCTCGGGATCATGTTCGGTGGTCAGCGACACGGAGGAAGCCTGGAGTCGTCAGAGTGCTGTATCCTTGCATCAGTGAATGCAGAATTTTCGGAAGCAGGATGCAGTTCTTGGATTCGCCCGTTACTGCCGAGGTTAAAGCTCTGGGGTAATACGGGGTGATCTTGGAACTTCCCCGTTGGCTTCGTCTCGTGCATTGAGCTATAGTGTTGTTGAAAGGTGTTGAAGACGCAGCCCGAGTAATCAATCCGAGTACTAGCATGATCACGTCGAGGTTAGCAAAGAGAGACGAACAGAGATCGCCCGCGTCGACGGCACCCGAAGTAGCTTTGGAGCCTCTTCGCTCTGCTCCAATTGCGCACAGAATCAAGCATCTCCAGCTTCCTCTCTCGATTCTCTAGATCTCTTGCAGAAACGCTCCTCTACGCGGAACATATTCGTCAAGACACATCTGAGGCTGTACTCTTGCAGGGTCCGCAGTACCAATTGACGTCCGTGTTCACCCCGGGTCCGAGGGAGTGGAAGGAGTCATGGTATAGCTCAGGCTTATAGACGTCAGCATCTCAAGACATCTCTAGTCTCTAGCTTTCTCGTTTGAAAGCTACTTTACATCGAGACATGTCAGGAAGCGTGAGTAGCCGTCAGTGGGACTTGCTGTCTTGCTGATCTTATGCGGGTGGTTGGCAGAAGGCGCGTACGAGTCGCAAAGATCGCGAGGAGGATGTCGAAACGATGCTAGCGCAGGCCAGAGCAGCATTGCGAACAGGCCCACCTCGACAGTTCTCTACCCATTCTACCGCATCCGTGCCGGATAGCGCGTGGTTCGTCAGCGATCTTATGCTCGGCGCGGGCATGGTCATACTCCAGCCCGACACAAAGAAGATAGCAGTCGTGTATGACGATCGGATGGACTTCTGGTTCCTGCCCAAGGGCCGGAAGGATGTGGGAGAGTCGCTGGAGCAGACGGCGCTGCGCGAGGCATACGAGGAGGTACGTCGTTCAATTTATCCCGGTTTGGAGTAATGAGTACTGAAAGCTCCTCGCAGTCGGGATACCAGCCCCAGTTTCTTCCTCTGTACATGCCCCATCGGTTTCCCTCGCCCCCGAACCCGGACAAAGGCGTCGCTGGGACACGATCTCCATTTGCCAAGGTCACCGAGCCTATCTACGTCACCACACAGACCTGGGGCCCACGATACCACAATGACGGCAGCCTTCGGGATGCCGGCGGGGAATACATCTCGTTCTACTACGTTGGATACATCGGCGCAGACGCCGTAAGCCCGCCGCACCTTGGCATATATCCACTGCGACTCCCGCGTCTCATCGCTCCACAGGTCCATCATCAGAACACCGGCATGGATAACGAAATGCACTACGTTACCCATCTGCTTCCGGCTCAGGAAGCTATCCAGCGGCTCACCCGGTACGAGCGTGCCGTGGCACACATGGCGTGGCAGTTGTGGGTGCAAACGGCGCAGATAGACGAGGCCAAGACGAAAGATAGCGAGGACAAGGCCGACGAAGGCCGCACAGAAGAGCCCAACAGGGCCCCTGTTCCTGTCACCAAGCAAGGGCCTCGAACGGAGCCACAGGACCCGTCTGACGCTGCAGAAGGCGCCCCGTCCGCCTGAGCTGCCGTACATCTGCGCTTGCTCTTCGCGAAGCTTTCGTGACCGACGGAGGTTGCACCCGTGTTTCGTGTCCTCGTCGACGCATTTCTTTGAAGACACGGTCCGGACGCATTCACGTCTTCATATGGGAGAGAGCCTGGTATTCTCGCATTCGATAACTCGCAGTATGATCCATCGGGCCATGTGAAGTGCGGAACTGTTATCTGGATCCCGCGTTATTGAAGCAGCTGCAGTCAATGTAGAGTCCGCAACGGCCCAGATGACGCGACCCGAAGCCATCCTGTTGTACACGATGTGTGACCAAGCTGTTCATGGCAATATCACTATATTATTACACAACATGACGTACAGGAATGGTAGGAGGCTAACGAAACCTTACAATCGGAAAGAAACTGTGGTCGCACTGCGACCTGCCAGATGTCCAGAATAAGCGAGAGAAACGGAAGGCGATAAGATTATGTGACACGCGGAAGAGCGGAGATATGAAAAGAGGGAGAATAAGGTCGTGTGTGCGTGGATACCGGGCACAATCCGTGCGCAGATCATAACGAGTGAAGCAGGTCGGCCTCAGAAGCGGAGACCCGCTAGGGAGGCAGCGGTAGCGGGTGCGCGCAACGCAGAGATTCCACAGCTTTCCTCAAAGCAAATTCGCCTTCTGGAGGTGATCGCGTAAAATACCCTCTTCCACGACCGCTAGCGTCGCAGCGGTACCTTTTGTGTCCTAGACGAGTGAAGGTACCCGATTGGTCAACGATAGGTAAAACTGCCGGCGGGAAAGGGCGCCCAACTTACGATCACGGAGGTAAGGTGGACGTAGAACGGGCGCGAGATTGGATTGCTGGCCTTGGCAATTTCCTTGAAGTGATGCTGAAAATCTGCGTAACGTAACAAAGGCCCGGGGTGAGTTGCCGAATTTCCAACAGGACAAGCGGGTCATGTCAGAAGATAAATGAAACAACGTTTATGGCGAGGAGAAGCGGGTAGGAGAAGGTGCCACGGGCGGCAGACATACATTTTGCAACAGTGGTAACGTCATTCGGCCGATCCCCGAAACTTGGGACATGGTCCTTGACCCTCACGCCTGCCTTGAGTTTTCTCTCAAGCAAGTCACATCTACCAGTTTGAGCAGGTTCGTCAGCATCACATCATTCACCGGGAAAAGTAAGCGAAGCATGTTACTGACTTGTTCAAGAAGAGGATGATCTGTGTCTTGGCCAGCAACTTGGAGGACGAAATCTGCCTCCACAGCAAAAAACTATCCTCCAGTCGATTCACTCTGCGGTCCTCCGCGAGCTTCTCGTCGAACGGAGAGATAGGCGCCAGGAAAATAATAGCGTCTACGTCGTCAAAGTACGGATACCAGGCCGCGCGCTGGGATCGATGTAACTTGATCAATCGTCGTTCGGGTGCGCTAACGGCAACGACGACATACCGATGATCTGTGACCGCCGACGTCGTAGAGGATCCATTCGGTGCCCGAAGCCCGCCCTGGATCAAGAATAGCAGAGAACCCTATCAGCACGCATCCGCAGGATACGGCCCCGTGGTCACGCCGAGGAAGGAGTCGGACGAGTCTACCCGGGACGTACCTTGCTCAAAGACGAAGCGATGTTCTTGGACGCCTACAGTACGCAAACGCGCGCGCACGACGTCACTGTCGGTTGGGGTGTAGCCCCTGACGGCAATGCGGTGAACGTCCTCCAAGAAGCTATCGTGGCGCCCCCCATCAGCATGATCGGCCATTTTGGGATATTTTAGCGCTCACAAGCCAGGTTGGTCCTCCAAGCGGATCTTGCGTCGCTTCAACATGTCACGCACGACCTCGTCGTGCCATACTGCGGCGATGTCCGTCGCGCACCCGGCAATGACGTCCGCGAACTCGTCGTTCTGCGAGGTGGGGGACTCCCGGCCTTTCATGCCGGCCGGGAGCAGCTTGTCGAGCGCGGTCTTCCACCCGTTGTTGGAGCGAATGAAGAATTCGCCGGGGCTCTTGGCGTTATACACCCGCGGTGTCAGCGGTGCGACGGTATCGGCATTCGGGTCGAACGCGAGCACTTGGTTGCTGTACGGCGCATTATCGTCGAGATCCTGTGAGGCTGCGCCGAGCCGGGTTTCGAGTTCCCGCTGGACGCTGCGCAGTGGGCCAAGCCGCAGTTTGAGCAGGCGGTGCTTCTCCGTCCACGGCAAAGGCGATCCCTCGAGCGAGTAAACGGAGGCGGCGTCGTCGTCGAATCGGGTGGGCTGCGGCGGAGCCCCGGACATCTCTTGCGACATGAGGTCCAGCAAATTGTTCACGGTGCGAACGAGGTTGAGGCGAATCACGTCCCGCCATGAATTGCGCTCCTCAGCCCACGCCTTTGCCGCGTACGTGAGCTGGAAGTCTTCGGATGCCGTCAGTCAAGGCATCGATGCGACCGTCAGAGGTTAACTCACTCTTCAATGTCGTGGACTTGCCTGGATAAATGGTCAGCGCTCGTCCGAAGATGCTCGTGCAATCGAATACACTAACCACTCTCGCTCTGCCCTAGAAGCAAAACCTTCACCGGTTTCCTCTTCTTCTTGAGCGCCGTCTTCTCCCTATCGATTTCGGCGTCGATTTCGTCGCTCACCCGCTTCGCCTCCGCTTCCTCCTGTTCTCGGCGCGCTCGCTCGGCCGGTGTCTCGTCTGGCGGAGGCCGCAGCGCGGCTGATAACGGATCGGGCTCCTCAAATGAACGGCCCATGCTTGCTCGTCGTCGTCTACGTCGTCAGGAGAGGGGTCGATAGGAAGTGCGTGTGCGTGTTTGTGGTCGTGGAGGTCGGAAAGGCGCCGTGTGCGTATGGAGCGAAGAGAGGCCGGAGCTGTGAATCAGACCCATTGTGAGATCTGATGGTCCACCCGCCCAAACAGAGCTGACTGACCGATCGGGCCAGCGCGACGCCGTCAGCGCCGGCGAAGACAAGTCGAGTCCCTGCGTTGCCGTCGCAGGCGATGGATTCCCATGATCCTGCCATAATCAATGCAAAGAAGCTGAAGGGAGGGGCAGTGACCGGTCTCCAGGCTCACATGGGGGGAGGACCCCGAGCCGTGTCAGCGAACCGCATGCGCTCGATAAAGCAAGGCGAAGAGTGAAGACTGCAGATGCAATCGGCTGGATGCACATCTGGAAGAAAAGTGTATCAGAGATGCGTCTATCTCCAAACTCCGAATCAATGATGGTCCGAACGGACGTCGATAATCAGCAGTTATCGTGCATGTTTATGCACACGAACGACCTTGCCTACTCACCCTCGGACATAGCGTACAGGAGCTGAAGAACTGATGTAGGATGATGTTCGCACGTTGAGAGTTGAGTGTAAATATGTGCCAGCGAAGCTGCTTGGATGCCGTGAAGCGCGGCATTAGGAAGCAGGGCGGTGTTGAAAGCCGGCCGATCACTTGCTCGATCCTCCCAAGGTGATATCGCTCACAGCAAAATGCATCGTATCTCAAGATAGATCACAACAAATGCCTGACGAAGGACTAACACAGGATGGTTGAGCTGAAGCCGCGATAGAATTGATGGTCAAGACGCGAAACTCGTGGGGACTTTGCGCCACAACCGTTTTGCTGACGCTTGTTGACGCGCGATTCTTCGGGGCAGGACTCCAGTCACTCCGGACAATTGATCCTCACTTCATCTGCTTTTCATCCTTGTCATTCAACGTCAATCGTGTCCATATAACATTCGGCGGCGGTGGACAGATGTGGCAAACTCCACTTGAATGGTTTCAGCGTTGCGACACAGTCATTTGATCATCACCGCAATACGGCCTACCTACAGTTAGTGCGAGCGCTGGCAACTTCGAATTCGGGTCGCCCATTCCATTCCCTGGATAGGCGCAGAACGCCGAACAAGCACAGGCACCGGTCAAACCTGGGGGTCTACCAGCCTTGTTCGTTCGCCCATCATACTTCCGGTCGTCCGGAAGTATGATACACTACCAGTATGCACTACGTTCTCCGGTGTTCTGGCTCACACGCAGGCTACTGAACGCGTGAAGTAGGACGACTGCAGCTGATTACTCCCACTGGAGCGCACACGGCGCCGGGAGAATTCTGCAAGAACTCAACTGTTTGAGGGTATCACGGCACGATCCAAGGACGGGCACCTTAGCAGGTACCCGCGCCGCGATCACTTTATCCGGGCGCAGGGTCAACCTGTCAGGTCAAGTATCTTGGTCCTCTTTCTGTGATATAGTGGCGTGTCCCACCTGCGACACAATGACGTTCTCTCTCCTATTTACATAGAGACGAGACGACTTCTCGTGTGCAGATACACATCGTGGGCAAGGGCGATCGATTCGCCGGTGGCCACTGGATGCGCCCTGATCATCCTTCGTGGCGTCCCGGTGTCAATTACAGCAGCTCAAATGCATCCGCTCCCCCCGCTCACATGGCTGGAAAGTGTTAGACGTGCCGTGTGATCTCCACCGGTGAGTCGCCGTTGCGTTCCCATCGCGATCCCGTCGGTTGACACGAAGTGGCATACAGTGTCCCGCTGCCCGTGCGCCAGGCAATCACGATCGCTATTTAGAGGCACCAAGCCCGATGCGATGCATAACTTAGGCTACGGGCAAGGATTTGACACGGCATACGATACGAGAGCGCTCGTACCAAGAATGGGGAGCGCTGGCGAATTATGTATCAAGTATCGCACGCAGTGTCAACTGGTTTCGCTCCGGGCGGGCGCATGCGGTGACCGGTCGCTAACTACGTCGCACTGGGTTCTTCCCTCCGGCCAGCGGCCGGCGGCGGACGGGCGGTTCCCGGACAATGCCGCCCGCAGCGTACAGGTGAACCTGCGGATGTCCGTAGCTCCAAAGAAATGTGACGCAGGTCTGCGTGGTTACAGCATCGAGATAATCTACGGGACGTAATGAGTGGAGCAGCAAGCACCGCAGTGAGGGCTCGCAAGGGTCTGAAACTTGGATAGCAGCAGCAGACAGACGACACGGCAGAACATAAACCAGTCTCGTGAATGGCACGAGATCAATCTCTCGTCCTCAAACGCCCTCATCTTCGATTCGCCTGGGCGAGGCCTGGCCATAACGATTTGAAAGTATTTGAGATTCCAGGGCGCGTTGCAGCTTGCTACAGGTTCGCGAACACTCTATTGGAGCGGCCTGGGGCGTCCAGATTCGCGCTGAGTAGATTGCGTGTATGTTCCTCTCGGACATCCTCCGAGGTCCTCGCTCAGTGTCCTATTTATACGACAGGGCAAGGGGTAGGTAGAGTGGTTTCTTGATCAACGAGATCTCAGCATGGTACACACCCGGAATCAATAAAAAAAGCAGGTCACCTCCAGTCGCTGTGACGTAAAAGATCGGCCAGGTTTGTGTGGGTTCTTCTAGAGGTGCTAGAGCTGTAGCACGAGCAGGAGCAATCCGACCTCGACCACGACCACCACGCCGGTAACCGCGACCACGATCCATCCGGCCGTCCGGAACGGCTTGCCCAGCATAGGTTTGTTCTCGTTTCCCTTGGTCATGATAGGCTCAGACGGCCGTCTCCTGTGGCTGGACCCCAAAGCCGGCGAGTCGTCCGCAAAGTCGTGTTTGGCATGTCGCGAGCGAAAGAAGGACAGCACGAAGAGCAGAGCTGCCAGGACGGCGTAGAGCAGTCCAACTGCGGGGAATAGCTGCTTGAGCTATGGGGGACCGGGTCGTCATACCGTTGGACTTACTGCGGTAGAAACGTCTGTCGAAGAGCTTCAATATCGTGAGGGAGTAGCTATATGGTTTCAATAGAGTCAGCATGTGGTAAAAATGCGACCTGCAGAGACCCACCCAAGGTTGCCGATGGCAGTCCGCCCATAAGCACCGTCGAACGTACGTTGACGCGCCCGGATCTCAACGAGCTCGTTGACATCTGCCGGATAAAATGTCTTGGACTTGTGACCCCTGTATACCTTGATGAGTACAGCTGGAAACTGTACGTTTGCGTGGCAGATTGTTGCTCACCGGTAGGTGTACTGGGGCATGGCGGACTGCGAGACAGAGGGTGTAAAGTCTAACCCTAGAATGGGGTTGCGACTTTCACCGGCTTCTTTCTCGCCTTCGTGTACGTGCTCGGACAATTTCGTGCAAGCAAAACTGGGCATTTGTGTAGCAAAACGTTGCTGTACAAGAAGGCGGAACCGTGTTGAGCAAGACTATCGAGAGGGCTCAAGGAAGTGAGTGCATGTCGCTGTGCCACGCTGGCCTGCTCATGGATTCCATGGATGCGCGCTGCATAGACGCTATGTCGACAAACATGCTAGTTTCACGAACTACTTTGTTGAATCAAGCCAGGTTATGTGGCGGGAGGACCTCTGGAGTGATTCGGTATGCGTGTTTGTAGCTCTTGCTGCAACAGTGTTCTGAAAGTCAGTAGACTGCCCTCTCTCGGCTCAAAGACCGTTCCAATATCACGAGCTTGGTGCGCGCGCTATTCATATCGCTCAGAACGACTGACTTACAATGACTTACCAACAGTTCAGGCTTGCTTCACCCGCGCTCCGCCGTTCTAGCCGCCCCAGGCCTCGCCCGGAGCTATTGGTGGTCGACCAAGTCTCCCGAGGCCAGTACAGCCGCTGCCTCTCCGCCGTCACCGCCCGCCGCACCTACCGCGGCTGCTTCTGAAGCTACTACATCCGTTACCGAGGCCGCGAAGCCATCCTCCGCCGACCTCGTCCAGTCCGTGGAGTCCGTGGAGTCCGTGGGGGACGTCGTACCCGAAAGCGCGAGCGCAGTCGCAGACGCCGCTGCCTCCGTCAGCACCGCGCCCTTACACTATGGCGATCTCGCTCAGCTCGGTCTCACCGGGTGGGGCCCCAGCGGCCTCTCTGTCTCATTTCTCGAGGCGCTCCATGTCTTCACCCAGCTGCCATGGGCATGGACGATCGTCCTCGGCACGGTCGCCACTCGTCTGATCGTCCTACCGTTCACGATTCGCTCCATGCGCGCGTCCGCAGCACTCGCGCCGTACCAGCCTCGTTTCCAGGAGATCATGAAGCAATTCGCCGAAGCGAGGGCGCAGCAGGATCTGCCGCGTCTCCAAAAGCTCGCTATGGAGCAGAAGTTGCTCTACCGCGAGGCGGGCTTCAGCATGGGCAGCGCGATCACAGGACCGTTGGTGCAAATCCCGGTTACGTTTGGCATGTTCATGGGCCTCCGGCGGATGTGCGAGCATCCCGTTGAGCAGCTGAAGAACAGCGGTTGGGACTTCTTCCCCGATCTGACGGTCGCGGACCCGACCTACGTACTCCCCTTCATCTCCACGGTCCTTATCCCTTTGACCATGAAGGTGCGCGTCTTGACGCCCCAAACGCCTCCGCCGTTTCTCTCTCAACTTTCTTTCGGCTGACACGGTTCTTTGCTAGGTATCCATGAGAGACATGTCGTCGACGGCCGCCATGAACCCGGCGCACATCTACAACGGGATGCTCGTCCTCAGCCCGCTCATGTTTGTAGTTTTGACGAAACTCGCCGCCGTGCGTCTCTTCCCCTTCTCTTCGTCCATAAATCAGCAGCGAAACTGACTTGACACCTTCTCGAAGGGCGTGAGCATCTACACCGCGACGGGCGCGCTGTTCGCCGTCCTGCAGAGCGCTGCGCTGCGATCGCACGCCGTTCGTCGAGCGCTGAAGATCCCGATCGTCCCTCCGACGGCCCAGCCCAAACCTGTCTCTATCGCGGACACCTGGCGCGCGCTCAAGGACAACATTACGCAGAGGGCCGAGCAAAGCCAGCGGACCGAGATGGCTCGCCAGCCGCGGCCTCGAGACCGCAACGGGCTCAGGCGGTGATGTAGGAGGGTGGGTCGCCGTGCCCTTGAGTCAAACCCCGCTGTTCCTTCCTGAAAGCACGCTGTCTAGAATACCTTCTGCTAATCTTAATGCACACATCCCTGCTCATCGCTGGCCAGAGCTTTTCTGGAAGGTCTGCTTCACGTCAACGCAAGTTCTTCCGGGTTCTCCTTCCAGCGCTCGTTTGGTCTGGACTCCTGTCACGTGCGCGAATGAGGTGGTTCACGCCGTGCGTTTTCGGGGACGGTTCCGCTGCTCCCGTCAAGGATGAATTGGACGCGGCTCAACTGCGAAGCGAAAATGCCAGTTCGCCGTGTCTTGGAGCGCAAACGAGGGTGCATAACCTTAACCAACAGGAGGCCTCTCGATGAACCGTCGCCGTCGGAAATTGGTGGATGAAAGACGCGACTTCGCCTCGCGCTCTGCTCATTTCACATGGAGCCGAAACTGCAGTACCATTTTCATGCAGCTGTCGCACCACTTGTGAGGCATGAGGCAGCGCCCAACGGACATTAGTGCAGCGATCTGAAAAACCAGGAGTTCGCCGCATGTCAGACGCGGACTATGATCCGGCTGCTGTTCGCGGCGCTCGTCGGCATAAGTATGGTAATCATCTCATTCATTCTTTTAGTTTCCAATATTCACGTGTTGCTCTCTTTCTTCTACAATTCAGAGCCCCGGGCGTGCCCAAACTCTATGATCGAGCCCGCTCTGTATCCGCGCACTCGTGCGGCCATCCCTATCCCACGGAAGAGGGTTGTCTTCCCTTCGTCAAGAGAGGAATCATGACTAAGATCGGTTGAGCCGCTACTTGAATTATGTCGGTCCGATCTCCTGGGTCTGTTGGTCATAGACCAAGTTTTCCGGAACTTGCGCTGCAGGCTCGACGCGCCTTAGTAGTATCGGGTTCTTTTACCCATGGCGGATATGCACAGATAGCGAGAGAGAATCATTGCCGCAGGCTCAATATGGTACAGATCACGCTTAATATTCACGGGGATTTGGAAGATGGCTTTGGACTCTATGTCCATACCAGCCTGAAGGAGCGATCTCAGGAGATAATAATGGTAAACATCGTTGTTTCGAAGCGTTCGGGATTGCCCCCGATTTCCAGCACGTAACCGTGCTACCCTCATCAGCATTCGCGGCATGCATTTGATAACGGCAGTGAAGTGCAGTACTCGAACACCTTGATCCAGATGAATCGGTCATGCAGCATGGTGCGGGAACGCTACTTTCTCTGCTCATTTCATTCTTGCGGCGCTGCAGAGTTCATATCTTGCGCCTCAAGCGATCAAACCTCAGAAAGGGGGCAACTGCACCATGCCGCGCGGGAAATTACACTTACGACAGGGCAATCGCTTGCAGTACGAACTACAACCTTTTTGTGTCTCGAGAACCTGCAGGAAGCGCTTTTGCCTACCTTGTATGTCGCGCTGAAGTTATATTGAAGGTTCTGCCACGACAGAGGACGTCCTAGCCGTTCACTATGTGATACGAGGTGAACACCCGGGCCCCTTCATTCGGGCCGCAAGGTTCTACCAATGATGCGCGCCAACAAATTCTATTCGATCGCCGGTGATCACCTTTCTAAGTCGAGGAGGGTCCACAAATAGACATTGGCACAAACGTAAGTTAGTATTCCTTCACTGCAATACTCATACACGAGAAATACCATCTCATTCAAAGTTCGACCCAGTGCGGTTAACGCTGTGTTTGCTAGGGCGCCGTATCTGCGATGCCGTGCCGCCCGAACGAGAGGCGCACTGACCATGGATACTCCAGGTATCTTTTGGCAACCCCAGATCTTGATCCGCATTGGATATGATCTAGCGTTTTCATGTGAGTCGTTTTCTCCGTGATCATAGCCTAATCCACCACCGCCGGACGCGAGCCGCTCTAAGCACGGCAGCGGATATTTCCACCTGGCTACGCCGGAATTTCTACTCGGCCCTGAGGCTCTGCGTATCATTCTTGGTCCATTCGACGCCGATGTTGTTTTTCTGGAATGATAAATTAGAGGACACGCCCGTCGGCGGATGCAGTTGCCCGGACACCGCCAGGGCTGACTTCCCTGGTAAAGCGATCCCGCTCTTTCCCACCGAAGTTTCTCTTCCGATGATATCGTCCTTCGTCCTCGGTCGTTATTACGTCCGGATACGTGCCTCGAACGGGTCATCATCGGGCTTCGTGCCTTCGATTAGGTGCCCCTCCCCTCGTGCGTCGATCCGGTTTTCATCGAATGCGCCGATAGGTCCCGCGAGTCGCGCTCGCCGCCGGATCGGTTTTGTGACATGCAGAGTCAATCGGGCCCCTGGCGCAGAATCGCAGTCTCTCACTAGCTCCTTGACTTGGGGAATCCTCCATTGCATAACGACGCTCGGAAGGCGTGATTCAATCCAGTCTAACGTTATCATAAGGTGTTCCCATCCAAAGGTATGGAACTCGGCAAGGTAGGCTGTAGTCCCTGCTAAATGTGGACAGTTCCGTGCACATTGGTGGGTCAACGACCGAGATCTAGCGAGCCTCCCAGGCGTAAGCTATTTCGACCGACAAAGAAGGTCTCGCACATTGCGCACGGAACAGAATATGAGTCGACATCCAGCCCTTGCCGCATCTTGTAGGATGCCGTTGCACCGGCGGCGCTGGGTGCGGGTCTGTTAAGCAGGTTGACAGGTGGGTCGTGGTTGGCCGGCGTTTCGAAATAAGCTAGACGTTGTACAAACCAGGACGAGTTCGGAGCACCCACAAGGGCAAAGTTCGACGAGGGATCGATACGCAGGTCGCGTATTCCGAATCCAGGATGGTGGGGAGGTTCGGGGTTCTGGACATCGACCGGCGTCGACTTGGCTGTCACCTACCGTGTTTACGGGCACGCCGAGTTTACGCGTGCCCGTCCAGATGGGCGTCGACAATCCAGCGATGAGATGCGCCGTAGTTGATTGGTTCGCATGGTCTCCCGCTCTTACGCCCTGGAGCCTGAGAGACTGAGCTGCACTGGTCATGGACGCCGCACGGCGCACGCGGCGGGTTCTTGGGCTTTGAACTGCTCGGACCGGCATGGGCATTGCCCGTTCGTGCTCGGCTTGTGCGATGCTGATGGTCGCTCCAAAGTTGCCCGAAACGCTCCCAGGACGTTGTTCGCCACTGCTGTGCTTGTCCTGATGCCACCCGTTCCAAGCAAATGAGCGGAGTGATTTATCTCAGCGCGGGGGTGAAGAACATACCGATCACGGTCACATCGCGGACTTTCTGAACGGCGTGGGCGTCAGGAAGGATCGCTCGCGACCATAAGGTTTCATTAAAAGAGGGGGAGGTTAATGTCATTTTTGGTCTGGATCGTTCAGAAGCGCGGACCATGCGAGAGCGCAAACACACAGCGCACGCGACTTTATGTCAAGCTCTTGTGCAAAATTCAATCTTCTGGGCTCGGCTCGCCTCCGAAATGCTGAGCAGTTCATATCAGGGTCTTCGAGCACACGGCAGCGGCAGGTCACTGGGACGCGACAGACATCGCGATGCATTGATACACACAACATTTTGACTCCCTTTTCTAGCTATTCGTCCTACAACCAAGACCCCACGATACTCAAGGCAAATCAGAGCTCTATAATTAAACACATCAGCCCAGGTCCATAGTGTTTCCAAGTGCGGCTTACTCTGCATGGCAGCAATGTCCGAGCTCTGGACGTAGTCCTCAAACTCGGCAATTTTGTCCTGTAGATCTTCCAGGGACACGAGCTCGTCCTCTGTGAAAGAAATGAGTAGGTAGCGTACGTGACTGTACGTTATACGTACCGACGACCAAGGTGATCTGCAACTTGCTGACACCGTAGCCAACAGCGACGAGCGTGCTGGCACCCCAGACGAGACCTGGCATCTCGATGGAACGTACGGACTCCTCAAGAGCCTTCATGTCGGTCTCATCGTCCCAGGGCTTAACCTCGAGGGTGACGAGCGACTGGAGGAACGTGTCAGGATACTGAGCAGTCGCTTTGGTCTAGATCATACCTTGGCGATGGTCTTGGGCTTGTTGGCCTTCTTGGCGTTGTAAGCCGCGACACGCTCAGCCTTGATGCGCTCAGCCTCTGCATCTTCCTCATCGTCCTCACCGAAGAGGTCAATCTCCTCCTCCTCCTCCTCAGCGGCGGCGGGAGCGGAAGCGGCAGAGCCAGCGGTGGCGGTGAAAGCCTCGCCAGCGGTGCTTGAGCCGGAGAGGGAGTCGAACTCCGCCTCGTATGATTTGATGTGGGTGTACCACCTCGCTACGTGCGGGTTGGTGGAGGCATCGGGTGCGGATCCGAGGGCCTTGAAGACGTGAACGTCCGCCTGAGACGGAGTGTAGCTAGGGAGGACGCGATTAGTATCCAGGGTGATAACTTCAACTCGGAGACGGAGAAATCGAAATCAGAACGTATGTTAGTATCGGCACGATTAGGCGAGGGGTCTTAATCCTCTCTTGGAAACACGGACCATACGAGATATTCATCATATAAGCAAACAATGAGATGAAACTCACCCTTCAACGTAGGACCTGGTCGCGAGGTGACTTTCGAGCTTGTTCAGGTCGATGGACATGGCGGACGATAGAGAGGAAAACGCGACGCCAGCGATCGATGGCAAAAAAAGGACCGGTCACATGATCGATCACTGTAGGGCAGCCTTTTTCCGCGACGACGATATCCTCTTCGACTTGAATTCTTACTATCGGTTCACATTCCCTCTTCTCTCTCTTTGTGCTGTGCCTTATTATGCGTGATTCCCAATCGGTTCCCGAAAGTCTTAGTTCAACGCGGATTGCCGTTTAGCCAGGATCGCATTTGTTGCCAAGGCGCAAGCGGAGTTCAGTGACTGGCGACCACCGTCGACACGTTCTTTTCGAAGGGCTCCGCGGTGTATGCGCACACACGCTGCCTCCGGCTCCGCATCGGTCTCCACGCGCGATGGGACAGAAGTTTGGCTCTATGCCTTCGCTGGAAGAGGTGCTGAATGAGAAAGGTCCGTCCTCCACTCGCGCGCCCTGTCGGCTGGTCTTAATCTCCGTTTTCGTACAAGACTAACAATGTTCGTCGCTCCGCCGATGTACCGATCTGGCGACTGCTGTGAAATTCTAAGCCGCTTGTATGCGCTGAAATCTGCATCCCAATTGTCAGACAGACGAATGCACGAACCAGTGCCTTGGCGGCGGCGAAGTACTCCTGCCGACCCGCGTCTCTCGCGCCTCGGGTATCGTGGCAATATGCGTTCTTCCAGCGACAAAACAGAAGGTTTCAAGTGCAAGTCTGACCCAACCATCGCGTACAAAGTCCCCCATCCAATTGAATGCCGTGCGCTTGCATTGCACCGTAGCGGCTGGCCGTGGTATCGGTCCTGTACAGCTTATATGCGTCATGACGTCACTACACGTCTTTGCTCTGACCGCTGGCGCCTATCGTTCTCTCGCCGATGAAACTGTGTCTGATGACCTGGGCATAGTTGCATTCCTCCCTTGCTCCCGCGCTCACTCGTGGGGTTGCAGCGAGGCAGATTCTATCAGCCGCGTCCGATGACTGCATCTTGGTCTCACCGCGTCGGCTCACGCTTGCCCGAAGGGTACCGCAGCTGGGGTCCGGTGACCCTGTGGCGGATTACGATCGTCCTGTTCCTGTCATCTTATCCCATAACGCATGGGAGCACTGCGGCACGAGCACGACCGGTTTCTGGCAGAATCTGCTCCTATTCCAACGGTTGCCCTTATCTCCGTTCCGCCCGACTTGCTATTAGCGATTCGCACCTCCATTGCCACTCCTCGCAGCAAGAACCCAGATGTCCGTTCGTCGACACGTCGCTACAACATGGAACCGTATCGGTCAGATGCGTCTTTTACGGCAATCGCGCTGATGCTCTGCCCATCTGATGCGAAGCTATCTCCACGAAGGGCCTGTCTCTTGTAGTCAGATGCCCTCCTTCTATCTACACGCTTTCTCGTATACACAAACCTCCGTCCTCGTTCTCCGTGCGAAGCCGGGGCAAGATCCAGTCGTTCATTGCCACAGTTAGAAGATGACACCCACGGCGCAAGTTTTGGAACATTCGCACCCGAAAGTCTACCCTCAGGCGAGGTTGAGGTTCGACCTTAGCGTGCAGGCGCTGGATTTGCGATACGCGGTCTGACAGACTATTCGCCGTTGGAGTAGCAAGGTGCGCTGCTACGTCGCTGCCCATTTGCGGAACTGATAAGATGTGTCACACAGCACGGTCTTCCCGTTTTCGGAAGCCTCAAAACGCCGCGTTCCCTCAGCAAGTTTGAATCCACAGCCAAGTGGTGCCGACGGGTTGCATCGCAATCTCCTCAGCACGCCACACTTTACGAGCCAACCTGCCGGAGCATAAGCGTAAGTAACGCGGGAATCGTGGCTGTTCACCCCCATCGTTATTCGGAGTCAGTCCCAATGACTGGGAAACTTGAGAAGTTCCATCGCTGATGTCATTTCACGGGGATGATCGGCATGTCGCTGCAAGAACTCCGCTCGCGCTGCCAGATTGCTGCCAGAAGGACATCCGGGCGTCGAGTAAGCGTGAGCCTAGGCTCCTGCTTTTCCTATTGCCGGGAAGCGCGGAAGTTAATGCCGTCTGTTTACGTAGGTGGTATCCAACCCGCGGTGGCGGTTTAATAACGTTCTTTCCCGTCCTTACTTGGTGCAGGCGCGGCTGATGATGCACACGGCGCGGTGGACCAGCTCAGGGCGACAGGTTCCCGGCAAATTCGCCTGTGCTGCGATCCCACGCCGTGTCCTGTCGCCCCTCCCGATCTGACCCAAGCACGGCGAACTAGACGGCGTCTCAGATCGACAGATCCTAACGGAGTTTCCCTGCTTCACTGACGGTGTTCTGAGGGCTATGTCCGCACTCAGTCGCCGCATCGTCCGTCTTTCAGCGCCAGGCGCATCCTATATTTTGGCCGTTTTGTCGTTCCTCGGCTCTCCCAACCTCCCCATCCTGGAGTCTCTACACCACACCAAGGTCATCGTGCTGGACGACGTACGCGTCATCCTTCGAAGACAACATGCCCTCACCTCTCCTCCTCGCCCCGCCCGAGATCGTCGAAGAGATCATCCTTTTAGCCACAGCAGCCCACCCAGCTGGTCCTCCCTCGTCCCTCTACGCATTGCAGGTCACCTGCCGCCATCTACATCGTACCCTCCATGCAAATCATAACCCTCGCCTCTTTGCAGGCATCTACATGCAAATGTTCGGTGACGCCCACCGGATCCGGACCTTGGTCATGGCACGCGACCGGACAGGCGACGTGTCGCTGCTGTCGCAAACGTTGGCCGTCGAACTCCAATCGCGGCTCGGGACCATGCAGGTCTTCCGCGACGTTTTTGCGTCACTCGATATCGGCCTGTATGACCCCAAGTTGCCAGATGCCTTCCTTCAAGCTTATCTCATGCTGCTCCAAGACCCCGCCAGCGTCGTCCAGCTGCGCTGGGCGCGTGCTTACGAGGTCTGCCTTGCGTGGCTCAAGAACCGCCTCCACGAGGGCGCGCTCGCGAACAATGGCTGGCCGGTGGAGAACGTGACGAACGCGCTCGTCGTCAGCCTCTTCTGGTCGTTAGACTCTCGAGGTGCGCAGTTCGACCCACAGCGACGCCAGGATTTGACCCATTTACTTCTTTCCTCTCATCAGCCGCGATTGGGGCCGAATCTCAACAGCTTCGCGCAGAGGTCCTGGAGCTTCTGCAGCCGTTCGTGCAAGCTTCTTTCCGGGTGCGTGCTGCGTTAGAAGCCCTGTTGGGCGGTGAACCTGTGCTCATCATGTGTCCTCTTCTCGCAGTATCCCTGCGGGAACGTGCCGGATCACGTCTTCGAGGCTTGCGCCTCCTCCAAAACATCGGGTCCTGATGCGGGTCCGACCACCGGACGACATACCGCGCACGGCGCGTGGCCTCCAACAAGGCTTGCGCCGATACATGTTGCTTTCGTTGGGCTCGAGGGCCTTGTGGAAGTACCGATGCCTTCTATTGCGCTGTATGCTATTCCTGCGTACTTTGCCCGCCTCGCGATGACGCCAATGGCTATTCCGTCCTCCCTGCCACGTACGCGGGCCGAGGCCATCGATCGCGGGTATGGTCCGCACGGCGTCACCATCGAAGACATCATTGCCTTCAATGAGCACGCGGGTGTGCGATTTCCCGACGCCGCCGACTTCAGGAGCGAAACGGGCTTAATGGTCGCACCCTCTCTGAGTCAACTGCGCCCGACGAATACGCCTCGCCTTGCGCCGTACATACTGGGCTCGATCACCGGGTCCTGGCGGGGATCTTATGCTGTTCGTCGTCGCTTTTTTTTTCACTTTGTGAGGACTAACGGGCGCTCGCGTGTTCCCTCTGGTAGCACCTGTCTCGCGAAGCCTACACGCACATGTTGGAGCACCGCACGGCGCCGGCCCAGTTCCCGCGCATGGTGCGAAAGCCAATATATATCACGTTCCAGGAGCACTATAATTACTCCCCTGGACGGCCTATCCCTCTGCCTCTCGAAGAACGCGGGTTCGCGAACGCGTGGCTGCCGGACAAGTGCGTGTGGCGCCTGTGCGAGGTGCGTGTTTACGTTTCTTTCTCTCCGAACCCCCCTTTTTCACCCCCCGGTGCTGTGCGATTGTGGCGCGAGTGTCGCGCACGCGAGAGGCGGGAATCAAAGGCTAACTATGTTTGAAACATATCTTGTAGGATCACATCGAGTTCTCGGGCGTCGATGGCGATTGGGCGGCCACGTACAGGACGTATGAGCCCGGACTTGGTGGGCGCGAGGACTGCCATCCGCAGCGGAACGCGGCGGCGCCTATCGACGTCGTCGTCACCGGGAAGGTACGTGTTTGCGCCCATACCGCCACCCACAGCCATCCTCTCTCCCGAATCGTTCGCGAACCCAACTTTTCACCAACCTGACCCTTTTGATCGCAGACGAGCGAAGACGGCTTGGTTTGGAACCCGCTTCGATTCTATGGGCGGGTGCGGCCGAGCGACGGCCGCGTGACGTTGGTGGCAGAAGCGGTGAGTAAGGCGCCTGCGCGGCGCACGGGCGGAGGGGACGTTGACGTACTGACGGTGTCTTTCTGCGACGCGCAGAGCGATCCGGAGAGGTCGCACGTCGGGCGTTGGATCTATACGGGCTACGGTGAGTACCTGCCCCCCTTTTCATCTCCGCCATCGCGCAGCTCGCTGAAGATTTCACGTTTTGTTTTGTGCTTTCTCTTCTTCTGTTGTTGCCGGTGCGCGGGTTTGGCAGTGACGGCGTCGGGCAACTTCGTGGGGCGGATGATGTTCTGCGACGCGGGAATCGACCCGCCTCCGTGGGACGGCGTGTTCTGCTTGTCCAAGGTCTAACCTTTTGGGCTGTGGGGCGAGGAGGGGCGGGCGGAGTTGGTTCGCCCCGAGGCCCGGGGCGTTAGTGACGATTAGGTGGTTAGTGTCGTCGCGGATGTTTTCTTGTCCTTTCTCTGCGCTCTTGGTTACACGTTCGTCGTTGACGGCTTCGACAGCCATCTCGGGTGGTCAGTCTATAGGTCCCGTCCCCTCTGCTTCTTCTCCATACTGCCCCGGATATTTGTGGGCTTCGGCGATCGTGGCTCCTTTCCCGCATCCATACCTCTTCCTCGTCGTTTCATATCCCGGATCATATTGGCACGAACAGTCGGCTTCTGTATACATACCTAAGCACTTCCTTCCCCCCTTTTCATCTCCCTCGTGATAGTTTTCGGACAGCCGGGCTCTCGCTCGGATCCGAGGTGGGTGAGAATCGCGCGCGAAGGGAGGGTAGTAACTGGTCATTGTACATCATAATGCATCACGCATTTGTCGAGAAAACCCGTGAGTTTCTGATAATACCCTGCCGGGCCATGTAAGAAAAGGGGGGGGGGGAGAATCGCGGGGGAATGTCTAACCGGAATAGAAGGCATGGGCCCGCGGCGCAGTTGGACGTTATCGTTTCGTGTTCCCTTCCATACCTCGCTTGATCGTTACCGCCTCTAGATTCTTTCTGTTGGCTCGAAATGCTCCCGTGTTATCGCACGCTCATGTATGATCTCTTTGAAAGGTTTTGCCCTCGCGGCCTAATTATACATCATATACTTTTAGAACTTTTACTTGACTTAAGGCGTAGGACGGGCCCGGTGATATGGGATGTGTTCTGTTCAAGCGCGCGCTTCGCGAGATCCCCGCGTCTTGGGTGGGGTGCGTCAAGGTTGATGATGATGCCCGCGGGCTTCGCCGTGCCGCGAGTCGACCGGTCAGGCCGAGGTCGAGCTGCTAACCCAGAGTTGCGAGCTGGCCAGCTTCGGTTTTGAACGTGCGAGTACCAACCCGGCGCTTACGAGCGGGTGGCGTTTTCGAGAGGTCGATGTGTATGCCTCATGGATCAACGTCCTCGCGGTACTCGCGTACTCGACAAATCGTAGGCCCCGCGTTTGGTGGCGACGTGTGACTTGCCCCCTTGATTGTGCGTTTTCTCCGCGCGCTGAGAATTGCCATTGAGGACCACAATTCGAGAGGATGTTTCCAGGCACTACCGTCAACGTGGACGGAGTCAAAAGCCAGGCAAGGCGGCACCAGCTGCAACAGCATCGCTGAGGACCACTGGCTAGCACTGATTAGCATTGACTACGTAGCTTGTACGTAAGTAATTATGTATCCGTAGCCAATCACGTCTCTGAACTCCCCCGCTCCGGACCCCGGCTATGTCAATAGCCGGAGTACACGCCGATGTCATCGTTATTTCTGACGCGTTGTTCCTGCAAGCCTCACACTGCAGTTGCGGGGGATTGCGCAAAACTCAATCGCATGCCCATCACTACTCCGCGTTCATCGTTCCGCCTTCGACCCACTCATCTCGGTCCAGCGACACCTTAAGGGATCAACCAAGTAGGCTTTGCGCGCGCGCGTGCGTGTGATGTCGCTCGATACGCTCCCGCCCGAGATCCTCGAGCAGATCGCGTTCCAGCTCGCGACCGACCCGGTCCTCGGTCCGCCCGCGCACCTCCGCGCCTTGCTCCTCGCCGGCCGCACGTTCTACGACGCGCTTTGCGTGGATGCGAACCCGGTGCTGTATGCGGGCGTGTTCGCGGCCAAGTTTGATCGGAGGCGGTTGTGGTACCGCGGACCGGGAGGGAGGGGAGGAGGCGGAGGAGGGGCGGTGGGGGAGGCGGAGGAGCTGAGGAGGAGGTGTGGGGTGTTGGGGAGGGTGAAGGCGAGGCGAGGATGTTATCGCCGTTTGGAAGCACGCTGGGACTCAGAGGGGGAGGGGGAGGGAGAGACGAGGGAGATACTATGGACGGCGTACCTGATGATGCTGGAGAACGACGGCGCGAACGAGAGGCATCTGAGGCATGCTGGGATAGACGGATGGTTGAGGGACTTTTGGGCGCATGCGGATGGGGCGAGCGGCGTCGCGCGGTGTATGAGCGAGGGACGGTGGCCGGAGGACGGGGACGAGACCGCGCTCGGGATGTGGTTATTCTGGTTCTTGTTCAAGCCCGGTGAATACACCCCACCCACACCGTTCTCTAATCTTCGTTTTTTTGGCTGACGCTCGGTGGCTCTCTCGTTCGCGCGCGGCAGAAAAGTACAAGGACGACCACGAGCTGACGCGGCTGCTCAAGATGTTCGCGCTCGGGGCGCACAAGGTAGGTGCATACCCCGTCTGTTGCTGCCGAGCGACGAGGCTGACGATCGACGCAGTACCCGCTCTGTGAGCCGTCCTGGGTCGATTTCCGTCCCCCGCCGCTTCCGCCCGTGCCGGAACACAGTCTCGTGCCGCACTACGGCGCGCGTATCGTGCTGCGCCCGCCGCCGCTCGCGGTGCCCGCCATCCTGTCCTACCTCGCTCTCGTCAACCGGTACGTGTCCCGCCCTTTTTCTTCGAACTCCCTCTCATCATTGGAATTTTTTCATCGTTTTTTCCTGACGTTTTCTGACATCGCTTTTCTTCGTATGTTACTATAGCCGCCCGGCGTCGTCGACGGCGGCGCATATCGCGACGCTCGCGACGATGCCGATACCGCCCACGGCGCCGGCGACGGTGGCCGTCATCGGCGGGGCGAGCAGGGGCGGCGAGTGCGCGTGCGAGTGGGGGCGCTGTCTCGCGCTCGGCGGCGGCGGCGGCGGTGGCGACGGGCGGCCGTTCAGGCCGGGGAGCTTGGAGGGCGTGTGGGAGGGGATGTTCATGGTGCGTGCTGCGATCTGAACTTTTTTTTTACCTCTTTCCTTGTTTGTGAGCTGGATCCTGTGAGGGGTCCTGTGGCGTGTCGTGGCTTTGCCCGCTTTCGCTTTTTTGTTTTCTTTTTTTCCCTGGTGCGCTGATTGTTACCCCTATTTTTTGGCTGTTATGTTTTCTGCGTAGTACTCGGAGTTCCCTGCGTACGCGGCGCTCCTGGCCGGCGCGGCGCCGGAGGTGTTGTATCGCAGCTCGGTAGCACAGCATCGGCAGACGTGGAAGCTGCGAGAGTACCATTATCGCCGGCGACGACGCGGGGGGTCGAGTTGTGGATGCGAGCGATGGGGGGATGCGGATGCGGATGAGACGCGAGGGGAGGAAGGGAAGAAGGAGGAGGGGGAGGGGGAGGTGGGGGAGGGGGAGATGAAGGGCCCGTTGCCGGCGGGGAATCCGCTCAGGGGGTATTTGTCGCCTGGGACGCGGGTGGAGGAGGAGAGTGGACGGACGTGGATTGAGTTTAGGAGGAGCGAGGGGGCGGTGAGGTATGTCCGCGCGGGGGAGGGCGAGGGCGAGGGCGAGGGCCAGGAGGAGGATGGAGAAGAAGTGCAAGATGTGGTGGTGACTGGCGAGGTAAGGGCGTTTCTCCCCTTGCGCTCGCGATGTGAGCGTGGTGCTGACGAAGGACGCGCGCGATAGGGTCATTCGGCGTGGGGGCAGTTTAATCTCCTTGGACGCGTCAGGCCGTGCGACGGGTTCATCACGCTGTCCAAGATATACGTGCGTGCTTTCTTGTTTTGTTTCGCTCGCGGAAGTTATGAATGGAGCGTTTTTGGATTTTCCAGATTGACGGAGACCGCGGCGAATGGGTGTACAGAGGTTACCTCGTCGGCGATGCGTACGGAAATCTCGCTGGCAGGTGGAGAGACAGTTTGACCCCCGTCGGCGAGCAGGGGTATGAAGGATGCTTTGCGATGAGCCGTAGGAGGTAAAAATGGGACAGTGGATATTTGGTTATCTTGTTTGCTATGATTTCTCGCTGTCGTTTGTTCCATGTTCATCCTTGCTTCATCGTAACCCAATGCATAGTTTGCTTTCCCTCGTACTCTCGAAAACTCTGCACGACTGGACTGGTTCTCGGTCTGCATACGGCGTTCGGGCCGCTCACCTCTGCGTCCTGTGCTCCTCCAGGCCGCGTCCAGACGCGAAGCTCAGCAAGTAGATTCGACCTGACGCAAGCGGTGCCCTCCTAATATACGAACGCTGTGCTCTATCGTTGATCTCCTTCCCCATCTGCGGACGTTGTGGGCGCTATCGACCTCCGTCCCAGGCGCCGCACAGCCGCAGATGCAGGTCACCTTCGACGGACGCGTTCCAACAGAACGCGTTGCCCAAATCGGGAAGGCGACCTGCCGGATTCGGGACGTGGCGGTCACCGCCTCTTCCTCTCCTGCACCGCTCGCTCGCCTCGTTCCAACCCCTTCCACCAGTTCCAGGGGCCACCAACACGTTTTTCGACTCCATCCTCTGCGTGTTAATGCGGATTGCTATCTGAACCTTGACATTTTCGCGATGGAGGAATCAGACACGACGCAGGCGCCCACAAGAGGCGATGTGCCCCCGCAGAGGCATATAAACGCCCAACGGGGAACACGTCCAAGATTTTTTTCCTTAGGAAAACATTTTCCTTTCGTTCGAGACAGATTACAAGTTTCCGGTTCCCCCGCATTTGAATGCACAAGTCCTCCTTCAACTTGCCCCCGAAGCAGCAGCCCGGCGACGTCTACTGGGTCGGCACCGCGTACGACCCGGACTATACCTACTTTGCGCTCTCGGACGGACAGAACCTGCTCGTCGTCCGCACCGACTCCTGTTGGCCATCGTCTGCCCACAACGACAGCAATAGCGATAGCGATAGCGACCGCTTTGATGACCGTGCGCTCGTGGATACGGACGACCCGGAGGTCGTCAACGCCCACCTCGCCGAGATGGCGACCCTGTGCGGCACGCGCGCGCGCGCCCAGCTCCGCTTCGGCGGATCGACGTCCAGCGCGGCGCTGCTCCGCTCCGGGAGAGGAGGATACGCGGTGGAGTACGTCCCCGACCCGTCGTTCCCCGTCCGATGCGAGCTCTGGGCCCCGCTCGTCGACGAGCGCGAGATCTGCGTCACGCGCTGGATGGACTTCCACAGACGCAGGGGGCTGTGGAAGGGGAGGGAGGTGGACGTGCTCATGGACGGGTGCGACGAGGAGGGCGCGAGGGCGGTGGGCGAGGTGACGGACGCGTATTGGCGGATGAGGGGCACGGGGTGTACGTTCGAAGTCCTCGGACGTGAGTCACGCTCTCCCGTTCCTGAACATATACCTCGGTGTAAACATGACACTCATCTGAATTGTCATCAGATGTGACGCGCCATGGACGCGTCGTCGGGCTCATGACGGAGCGCATCCAGGGTCGCCCGCCGCGGTACGAAGACAGGCAGAAGGTCTACGCCGCCGTCGCCAAGCTCCAGCGGCACGGTCTGCTGCACACCCAGCTCGATCACGACACGATCGTCATCTCCCCCTCCGGCCACGTCCGGTTCGTCTCCCCGGAAGACGCGGTCTACTTCCCGCCCGAAGAGCGGGACGAGCTCGACCGCCGCGCGGACGAGTGGGAGCACTGGACGAAGCTGCCGATCCTGTTCGAGGAGATGAGGACGGGGGAGGCGGAGGAGCAGATGGGCGCGGGCGCCGTGAGCGTGTACACGTACCTGATGCTGAACGCGCAGGCGGAGCCGGTGGTGATCAGTACCGGGTGGGAGCCGGAGGAGGCGAGGACGCGCAGGCTGACGGAGAGGGACTTGAGGCGCGCGGCGGCGGAGAGGAAGTGCGTGCGTGAGATGTTTATTACCGGGGAGCTGGGGAGGTGGTTGGACGAGCTGGACAGGCGCGCCAAGGGAGCAGGAGGTGTACCGCAGGAGGCGTGCTACGGGTCCGTGGTTTCCAGCGACGGGCCGAAGGACAAGGACGGCAACACGGCCGCGGAACGACCCGCACTGCCCATTCGCGACTCTGCTCCACCATCCGACGGGAGGCCACCGTCGACGCTTGGCTCCTGGGCGGAAGACTCGATCTCCGTGCGTGGGACCTGTGCAACGCGGCCTCCATCGACGCTTGGATCGTGGGTCGACGATTCGGTCTCGGCGCGCTACGCCTCATCCGCGTCGGGCGACGACGCTCGGTCCTCGATCGGGCCGTCGTCGGTCTACGTTGTACCCCCCTCCTCCTCGGCATCGGCGATATCCGTCGCACCCTCGTTCACGTCCTCGGGATCGGGGTCGTCTGGTGCCGCATCGTCGACGTCGGCGCGATCCGGGTGGTCGTCGTGGGTGTTCGTGAACGCGCGACAGAGCGATGGACCGCCGCCCGCGAGAGGACCGAGGGTGTCGCGTACCCCTCCTTCTGTGACGTCGTCGTCGGGTCCGGCGAGGACAAAGAAGCGACAACGCGCGCATCCGTATGCCAGCACCCAGATGCTTCCTCCTCCTGATCCGATCCTGGCGCCTATCGAGGGGCCGGCGGGTGGTTCCTTCGACCTTGCATCCCAATCGTTTATATGGTGAGTCTGACAACTTCAACCTCCGTCGAACTTGCGCTAAATACGACGCTGTCATCTAGGCCCGAACTCGATTCACAGGAGTCAATCCGTGCATTCCTTGAAGGCACCGGAGACATACAGCAACTATTACTAGACAACAACATACACCTTTAGACATAATGCTTTCTCTTTGACGAGCGGTTCGTTCCCCCACCTACATAATCTGCGCGCAGGCCTTTTTGCCGTTGATATACCCATTCGTCTTCGACTTTCTTCGACTTTCGTAGAGACAGACCCAAGTCTCGTGTCGCGCCATCAGTGGTTTTACCCATGGAGGCCCTAACTGCAATACCCCTTCGTCTTCGATTTTCCTTACAGCTGCACGACTCCAGCTTCCTATACCCATCATCTCGTTACTTTACAAACCGAAGAATGTACACCATAGCAGTAGACAATCCCGAGGAAATAATACGCGAAAAGACCCAAGAAAACACGCGGAGCCCAGACGCCGTTCCGAGACCGCTTATGTCAGCCGAAGGCACGGCCAATCAAAACCGTCGAGGGGACTTGGCAACAAACAAGCAATACCCCCAGTCTCAGGCCAACGACCCTTTTCACCTCCGCCCACGTCCTCCACACGTCCTCGTCGTCGTCGACAATAAACTCGTCCATTCGTTATCGTTCTCTGCGACATACACCCATGAAGACGTTCGCCATCGTCTCCGCCCTCGCCTCGGTCGCCCTCGCTCAGTCGGTGAGTCGGCTCGCAGTTTCCACAGAGAGCAAGACGAGGGCGCGATCGCTGACGATGTCTGATCCGACGTTGCAGAGCACGGCGTCGGCGAGCGCGCTCATCCCGACGGGCATCAGCTCCGGCTGCTCGTCCTTCCTCACCGCCTTCAACAGCAACTCGGCGCTCTCCGCGTGCACCTCGCCGCTCATCTCCGCCACGTCCTCCTACGGCCCTGGCGGCAACGCGAGCGCCACGTCCGCCGGCGTCTCGTCCGCGCTGAGCGCCGCCTGCTCGGCGACGACGTGCTCGGAAACGACCGTCCGCGACCAGCTCACGCAGTTCTACGCCGCCTGCACCGCCGAGCTCACCTCCAGCCCGAACGACGCCGTCGTCCGCGCGTACGACGTGCTCTACGCGCTCACCCCGCTCAAGAAGGCGCTCTGCGCCAAGGACGACAGCGGCAAGTACTGCGCCGCGCAGCTCTCGTCGATCGTCTCCTCCGCGAGCGCCTCCGCCTCCGCCGCCTCCGCCTCGGCGTCCGCTGCCGCCGGCTCGCTCAGCAACGGCCTCTCGCTCGCGAGCGTGCAGAAGTACCTGTGGGCGAGCACGAGCGGCTCGCTCGCGCGCCGCGCCTCGTCGTCCGAGGCCGCGCTCATCCCGAACACGACCACCTACGCCGCCTCGAACCTCGTCTTCCTCTTCCTCCAGCCCGCGCTCGAGAGCGCCGCGCTGTGCACATCCTGCACGCGCGCGGTGCTGACGTCGTACATCGACTGGGAGTCGGACGTGCCGTACGCGCCCGGGCTCGCCAACTCGCCCACCATGGCCGGCCAAGCGGCGATCTACAACGCGGTCCAGAGCACGTGCGGATCGAGCTTCCTCAGCGGCGCGGTGCAGGCGGCGGGAAGTCTGAGCAACGGTCTTGGGCAGAGCAGCGGGGCCGCGCCGGCGGTCGCGCTCGCTGGTCGGGCGGGCACGGTGGTCGCGGCGATCGGCGCCGTCGTCCTCGGTGCGGTCGCGGTGTTGTAAGGAGGTCGCGCAGCCCCTTTTTTTGGTCATGGGGATGCCCCGCTCTCTCGACAGGGTGTCAAACATCGGCTGTTTGGCAATTTCCCCGCATCACATTTCTAGCGCACCTTATAATTATTCTCAACATCATTCCACGGACGGCTTTGTCGGTGAATATACCCCCCCCCTTTGTAGGACCGTAACACGCCCCCCTCGAGTTTGTAGTCCGTCGATATGAACTTGGGAGAAATCATCGTTCCTGCAGAACCCTCGAGCCTTGAGCTTGTTCGTTTGTGATGGCTCCTCATGGGATTGTTCGCGAACGTGTCTGCGGCCCCACAAGTGGGCGCTCGTGCAGATGTACGCCCTTAGATCGATATCCTTTCGCAGAAGTCGGTGACGTCGGCGGCTTGGTGCCCACAAAGTCAAAGGGGACTCAAGCATGGGGCCAGTACACTTAAGTATTGATACATAAGAACTATGTTGCTAGCTCAGAGAAAACCCTACGCCGGTGAGAAGGCGTTTCATCGACCTTTCCACCGAGCGCCGCAATACACTCGCCGCCTTTTCGATACACATGGACACTTACATACGTGCTGAAGCGTATCTGTAATCTCCCGAAGCTTACACATGGCTGTTTAGGCTCTCGGCGGGTATGATGGAGGATAGGGCTAGAATAAGTTGGTCGATGTAATTTTGCTCCCGCACGCACACGTGCGCGTCGAAGTCGTGGGGGGGGGGGGGGGGGGGGGGGCGAGTTGGTTGGGTCCTTACTATAACATACGCTCAGGGCACTTATCGCAGGTGCTTACGATGGCCTTTAACAAGTATTTATTGGTTATACCGATCTCGGAGGTATGGCGCTGGCTTCCTACGACCTGCAGTGCACGCAACTGCCTACCGACTCGGAGGAAGGCCTTGCATCTTTCATCTCATCCGCTTCCTGCGAACCGCGCTGTGGAGGATTGCTCGTGACGTGAACATCAACTTGGGTTCTTTGGATCATTCAATTGCCTCCGTGGAAGACGGACGTTGACAGCCAGAATGGCCGAACATCCGTGGTGTCCTTCGCTTTACGCTCCTTCATGACGACATCGAAAGAAAGACTCCCGAACACAACATGTTGCATATGCTTGGTCTTTTTCGGATCGTCTCAGACCGAAAAATGACGTACGACGTACGACGTTGATCAAGCAAAGCGCGAAACTATCCTTACTGCCACGACTGCGGCTTCACTTCGAGCGACCCACGCAACAATGTCGGTGTGGGATGCGCAGTGTGGAGGCGGGAGATGGAATGCAAACATAGCAGTGTTGCCGTTGACGTCGGTTTGCTCTATGGTACGGTGGGCAACGTTACTTCCGTCTCCACGAAGCTGGAACGGCCAGTGGGTCTGACTGATCATGCTGATACCGGGCTATCTTTAGGTCATACGAATATCCCGAGATCCCCGTATAAGAGAGAGAAGGTCAATATGCTATGAGATATATATATTACAGAATATCGTCCCTGGCACTACCAGAGTATCCCTCGTCAAAGTGAACAATGTCGAATACACAGGCAACAAAGCCATCAGTCTTGATCGTGAGTCGTCACCGGTTGCCTCGCCCACTGTCGGGGTGCTCATCACAACATCTATGCTAAGGTGGGAGGAGGGCCGGTAGGCCTCATGACGGCCATTGTGCTCTCGTACAACGGCATCCCCGTCCGCATTATCGAGAAGAACACCACGAATCGCCCTGGACAGAGGGGCGCGGGCGTCCAGGTTCGCTCTTGAGAACGCACATCGTGCCCCCGCGGTATATTGACGAGTTTCTTGCCAGCCCCGAAGCCAAGAACTGTACTCGTTCATCGGCATCTTACCGGAGCTCCAGAAGCTATCCCGCCCCCTTATGCAAATGCACCTGTACCAGCCCAGCGACGGCGGCGCCCCAAGAGACGCCCACTTCCTCACGCCGGTCGACCCCACCCCAGCGTGTCCGATTGTGAGTATTCTATATGACGTCTCAACGTATCCACGATGTGACGCTTGTGGTCTCTAGACGCGGCCGCTGTCGCTCGGGCAGTCGCGTTCCGAGCCCATCCTGCGCAATTTCCTCTTGAGCCGTTTCGGTGTCGCGCTTGAGCTCGCGACGGAGCTGACCCACTTCGAGCAAGATGCTGAGGGCGTGTCGTGCCACATCGTGAAGCGCTCCGTGGACGGGTACAAGGTCGAGGAGGACGTCCGCGTACTGTACGTCGTCGGCGCCGACGGCGCACGAGGTGGGCTTCCCTTGTTCGCCCTGGCTGTTGATTCTGACAGCGAGTCCGCAGGTGTTGTCCGGAAGGCGTTGGGCCTATCTTACGAAGGGCAAGCTCTCGAGCAGCATATGATCATCGGGGACGTAAGAGTGCAAGGGCTTGGACCCAATGTGAGTTCAGCCTGCTTGGACGTTAATGCGTAGCTCCGCGCTGATGCACGACGATCTGTAGCCACAGAGCCGTTGGCATATATTCGGCAGCTTTGCCACTCAAGGGTGCGTTCCTCGGCCTCTCATGAACATACACGGTTTCTCACGTTGATCGCGTTAGGCTATGGCTTCGTCCGACGGAATGGGACACACCCGACTTGTACCAGATTATTGGCAGTGGACCAACCGTCGACGCAGCGGGCTTGACGGCGGATTATCCGAAGCTAGCTCAATGGATCCGTGAGGTGACGCAGTTGGAGGGCCTCACCATCAACGTCGAATGGGCATCGGAGTACCGGTGAGCTTTTGGCGCGTAGTTGAAGGGTCGCGACATTTATATCTGTCCTCTACTAGTGCAAGTAGCAGGATGGTCAACAAGTTCTCGGAAGGAAGGGTGTTCGTGGCCGGAGGTATGCACTGGACTGATGCACTCTAGCATGGTTGCGTTAATGACACTGCCCTTCTTCTGCGTAGATTCTGCACATATACACCCCCCTGCTGGAGCGCAGGTGAGCATGACTGGACGATGAGTTCTCGACCCAAATGTGCCGACACGTTACCTCTCAGGGCATGAACTCGGGAGTGCAAGATGCTGTGAGTCAGGGGTTCATGTTATCTAAAGGTGCTTCGCTGATCCAGCCATTCACCACAGTACAATCTCGCGTGGAAGCTAGCCCTCGTGTTGAAGGGCCTCTCCCCGCCCGCCCTTCTTGCGAGCTACAGCGACGAGCGCCTCCCGGTCATCAGCGAGATGATCAAGCGTACGACGGCCATGTTCAATCGGGTCTCGAAAGAAGGCGTGGACCGCGGCGTCAACGCCGACTCGGCGTTGTACATGCTCGGCATCAACTACCGCTGGAGCGGCGTCGTCGTGGACTATCGCGGGTCGGGGGGCGAGGAGGCTAAAGGGCATGCGTACCTCGGCAAGGGCGACGGCGTGCATGCTGGCGACAGGGCACCCGACGCGCCCGGTCTCACCATCGCTCACGTCGCGCCCCATGGTTCGTTGCCAGAGCTGAAGGCGGGGGAGGCGACGTCGCTGTTCAAGTTCTTCACGCCGGCGAAGCATACTGCGCTCGTTTTCCTTCCAGAGGACGCGGAAAGGTCGGCTGTGGGCGCCGCGCTGAGAAGCTTCCCGCCCGGGACCCTGCAGACGCTGGCCGTTCTTCCGAATGGCGTCGGCCATGGACCATCGCAGGGCTCCGCGGAGGTGGACGTGACGCTGGTGGACGCCCAGGGCCATGCATTCTCTGGGTATGGAAGCCAGGGGGTGGGGATAACGTTCGTGATTGTTCGCCCTGACGGGTATGTTGGAGCGTACGTGCGGGACGCGGCGGGAATTGAACGGTATTGTGCTGGGGTCTTCGGAGGGAGTGCACAGTGAGCGGCGGAAGAAGACGGTACAGCGGTACTTACATAGATCGGGCGATGCTTCTGTCCCTGTGGTTCGCTTTCGGTGGATATATGCCGTAACGACTTCGATGTCATGCTCTCATGAGATCCATGAATGCTAATCTTGTTTGCAACCGAGTGGCCGAAGGACGCGTGTACATACTCTTCAACCAAGGCCTCGTTGGTTCCTGTCACTGCTATGTGATTGAATCTTGCTTCCAAACGCTATGTTTACCTGATGGCACAGCCTAAGGAAACAAGCTACGTGAACGTTCTCTTGTAGGTTGCATTGATACTTACCAAAGCGTGCCTGATGGCGTTGCGGGCTGCCCGCGACATCAACGAAACTGCAGCCTCGCGCGCTGGCCCAGTAGTTCAAATGGTCGCACAAACGCTCCGAGATAATATATTCATGTCGGCACGTTCAGACCACTACGTATAGGTCAAGCGAACACAAAGAGAATCCAGATGCAAAGGTGCATGGGTCACTGACTCCGCCGAGGAGACGGTCTGGCTTGATAATCTGATAAGATTGACGCATCCACTCCATTGGCGACTCTTCCCCGGATCTATGGCTGAAAAGAACAGATTTGCGTGAACATTCGTGGTCATTCTTACCACATATTGCTGATATAAGTACGCAATCGAGTTGCCGATACAATTCGTACTGGCTCCCGGAATCCCGCACTGCGATCTCACACGCTGGCCTTTGTCCCGAACAGCGTCCACTACCCGAGGCCGCTGCGACGGAGGGCTCCAGTGCCGCCCTTGACGTTGGGCATTATGTATATAAGCAGCGGACGCGTTGGTTCGTGTCGACATCCGAGCTTGCTTGTTCCACGTCTCGTTGCTGCTCGCTATTACTCCTAGAACATGACTTCAAAGTCCGACTCACGCACCGTACTGATCGTACGAAATATCGACGCTACGCTGTCGCACTTATATCCTAACACATCCTCGTCGTCATAGGCTGGAGCAGGGCCGACTGGTCTTATTGCTGCTCTCGTGCTGAGTCTGAATGGTGTCCCCGTCCGGATCATCGAGAAGGAGGGTCATTTGACGCTCGGTGAAAGAGGCCCTGGTCTTCAGGTACGTTGCAAGGGTGCGCCCCATTTGGATGCGCGTTAACCGTTTTACAACGCCACAGCCGCGATCACTCGAACTACTCTCGTTCGCAGGCGTATTGGATGATTTCATGAAGATCGCCAGAAACGTGCCGCCTGTTCGTATGTTCAAGGAGGGACTCCCGGATCCGATCTACACTCCGATTTCGGCGGAAATGAGCCCAACGCCCTCGCGTCCGATTGTAAGCAATGTTGTTGATGTATACAGAGAACGAGCTGAGATTTTCGACCGCGTAGACCCGAACAGCTATGCTCGGTCAATCCCGGATCGTCCGTTTTCTCGAGGATAAACTGAGGAAATATGGCGTCTCAGTCGAAACCGGTATCGCAATCCATGGCCTTGAGCAGGATGCAGACGGGGTGACCGTACACGTCGTTAAAGCTGAAAATGAGGGACAACAGGTGGAGGAGACGTTGCGCGTCGGCTGGGTCATAGGAGCGGACGGAGCTAGAGGTAGGGATATCAACGTATTTGCCCCTAACATATGCTGATCGGCGATGCAGGAGCCGTAAGGAAGCTCTTGGGCCTTACCTTTAGAGGCGAGAGTCACCCCGGCCTTTGGCTCGTCTGCGATGTAGAGCTCGAGCAGCCTTGGACGGATGCCGACGACTACTTCAACGGCTGGGGCGATTTCAACGACGTGCTGTAGGTGACTCCCGAGAGACATGCCATTTCGCTCATTAACACGGGCGCCGTTGGCAAACAGATTGATGATCCGCCCATCGGCAAGAGACACGCCCCGCCTAGGACAGATGTTGTTGGCGGGGAACGATTTCAACGCGGCGCATTATCTGGATCATAGCGAGGAGATCTTGAAGCTGGCGAACGAGAAGATCACGGTCCCGAGCATCCGATTGGCGAAGGTGTTGTGGGCCTCAGAGTACAAGTCCGGATCAGATCATCGCTTGAAACTGTCCCGCGCCTGACGTTCCTTCGCGTTTTGTAGACCGAGCAGCCGTATGGTAGAGAAGTTCTCGGAAGGACGCGTTTTCGTTGCGGGAGGTGCTTGTCACAAATATACATCTGTCCAACAGCCCTTGACCTACCCGTTGCAGATGCCGCTCATATTCATCCTCCTACAGGCGGACAGGTGAGCGGTGACTCGATGCGGCTCGAGGGAGTACTTACGTTACCTTGCGCAGGGGCTCAACTCCGGCTTGCAAGACGCAGTCAATCTAGGGTGGAAACTGGCCCTGGTTGATCGCGGCTATGCTCCTCCCTCGATTCTGTCAAGCTATAGCGAGGAACGGCACCCCGTCATCAGGGCGATGCTCCAGCTCACAGGCGACCTCTACACGAAGACGCGGGGTGCGAATATCAAAGAGAGCCTCAACAGGAGCACACCCGTGTACATGCTCGAGATCAACTATCGATGGAGCGGTATCGTCGTAGACGACCGCGTAGATCCGAACTCTCCAGAGAAGAAAGACACCTCGCGAGCGTACGCAGGCAACGAGGACGGCGTGCACGCGGGGGACAGGGCACCGGAGGCACCCGAGTTGGAGGTGGTTCGAGCCTCGGCGGCGGCGTCTCTTGAAGGCCAAGAACCGACGTCGATCTTCAAGCTCTTCAAGCTGACGAAGCACACCGCGCTCATCTTCGTCAAGCAGAACGCCGATTCCTCCATCATCGCTGCGTTCCTGCAGGCTTTAGCTTCGTTCCCTCCAGAGACTGTGCAGACCGCCGTGGCCATATCGCCTTCTGTCACCAACGAGCAGAAGGCCACATTTGCGACGCTGACCGAAGGAGCCGATGTCGTACTGCTGGATAAGGCAGGGCACGCGTTCCGCGAGTATGGGGTCGGAGATGATCACAGTCAGGCGCTGGTGCTTGTCCGGCCAGATGGATATGTCGGGGCGTATGTTTACGGAACAGAAGGCCTGAAGAAGTACACGGAAGCGCAGTTCGGAGGCGCTACTAGCGTCGTCAAGTCGAGCTGAATGCTCTGTGGACGAGAGTTGCGTTTAGACGTATCGTGCCTAGTCAACAAGTGGTGTCTCACATAGCACTATCTGTCGGTAGAGGATAATCAGATGATGACCACGAGTGTCAGCTCGGTCTGTGTGGTGGACAATAGAAAACGAGACGCGTGAACGCCGCACGATTGACGCGACGACCGGTCTCGACGACTTCCTTCCCGTCGCTGACCCCGAAAGCTGACGCACGTACCGCCTGGCCAATATAATCAACATTAGACGATTCTGATGAGTCTGAAGGGAACGCCAAATGCGGTCGCGAGGACCTGTGACGCGATGTCGACCCGACGCCTGGCTTGAACGCAAACAAAGCCCATGATACTTTACTCGTACACGACACGAATCACCCACCGTATCTTCTGCTATCCGGAGGTCCAACTCATCTCCCAACTTGCATAGCCCAACAACGTCCCGAGTTGCCATTCATCCTCAGGGTACGTGCATACACCCACTCTACATCGTGGCATCGCGTTCATTCCACTGTTCTTAGGTCGGAGCAGGGCCCACCGGCTTGATACTTGCTTTGATTCTCGCTCTGGAAACGGAGAGGACCCGTGTTGGAGGCAGTAGCCTTCATGGCCCAGATGGAGCCGAGTCTGTCCCTTCCTCGCGTAAGTTTTCAAAACATGGCACAACTACTACACTTTGGCTGATAGGCGCCCCTACTCCGCAGGCGAAGGGAGCGATCATCGGCCAGTGGCGGCTGCGCGCGCTGCTTGCGGATCGATTAGCGAAAGGATTATGGTGTTCACATCGAGACGAACGCGGCGCTACGGGGATCTCGAGTAAAATGCTAACAAGATCACCGTTGTCCCCGCGAAGGCCGACGGGGACGGGCAGGAGGTTCTCGAGAGCTCCACTCAACCAAGTGGTGTTTGTTGACGGGGCTAGAGGTAGGTCATTATCACTTCTTTGGCACAATGCAGCGTTGGTGCCAACCGTTGAGTAGGCACCATCTGCAACATCCTTAGTCTGTCCTTCCATGACGACCGGCATGTAGGACAGTGGGGAGTCGCCGACCTGCGCATGCAGCAGCTCTGGATAGACGTTGGTTCTTCATTCATCGTAGCCTGCAAATCTTTTGGTAACACACACCTCCTGGGCAGCGCGATCCCAATACTGGTTCGGATATGCCCGCGAACCTTGGTGCGTGGCTCCAGTGTTTCCTAGATCTTTGAGCTTACTCGTGATGCCTATCAGTGCGGTAGTGCGACCGACAGCATTCGAACCTGCCCAGATCTTGTGCCGGTTATGACGGTCGGTCAACGTCTCTCTCGGCGCGTCCTGAAGATCATATCCGACCCTGACGGCTTGCGAAAGTGTATTGGACTGCGGGAGTATATGTCAGTCATCCAATACCGGTTGTATGGCATGATGTCTCATTTTCTCGACCTGCAGAACGAGCAGTCGTATAGTCGACCGCTCAGTGAGGGGAGGGTGTTCGTGGAGGTCAGATCGCGCACGCTCGACTGTATATTCTCAACGATGCCAATTTCTCAGATGCTGTTCGCGTTCATCCTACCATTGGAGGCCACGTCAGCGACATATCTTAACCACGCCAGAGTGATCCGCCCAACATGACCATAACCTTGGGGCTTCGACTCGGGAATTCAAGATGCCATTAACCTCGCCTTGGTCGCAAAACGCATTGTCCCGATTTCGCTGCTCTCCAGCTGCACCGAGGGGCGCCTACCCGCCATCGAGGTCCTGCAGCTCGCGGGCGGCTTCTGGACCATGATGAGGTTCGAAGATGTTCAAACACGACGGCACGGTATACATGTGAGACATTAATCCGCGATGGAGCGAGGCCGTCGTGGATAACCTCGTCTTCGGAGAGGAGTACGTGCCAAGGACGGAGTTCAGAGCAACCGGTATCGCTCATTGTAGGCTTGTACTCACGGCCTCCTCCGTTGTACATTTCGAACCAATGACATATATTGGCGCACGCTCAAATCCCTAGGTGTATATACGGTGCCCATCGGAGCGGCTCAGGCTGGACGGTTCGCAGTTTCGTGACGGCCTCGTCGAGGGCGTACGCGATGTCATCGGGGTCGATGTGATCCAAGTTGCCGCTGAATATCTTCTGGTATACAGATCGAGCTATCTCCGGCCCGTCCGCGTCCGCCATGGACCTTTACATTTGATTGTAAGTCGGTATAATAGAGGTGGATAGCCGCAAACAGGGACTGACCAGAGCGTAGCGATGACGCTTTTGAATCCTGCGAAGAACATGACGGCCGCGAGATGGACCACCTGATCAGGCTGATTCTGCATGGGCACGTTGTTCAGTCGCACCATGATCTCGACCGGTATTGGTACTCACGAAGTCACCTTTGGCTGTTTCGCATGCACTCAAGAATGCCATGACCGCGCGAGGGAGGGGTACGGGCATGAGTCGTTCGATCGTGAGTTTCTCGTCACGCAGAATGAATCCGCTCTGCAACGGATTCTCCAGATCTTGATGGCCATGGCACGCGAGGTGAAGGATGTTCGTCTGTGGGAGCAGCTTTAGCAGCGTCTCCGCCGTGATCCCGTTTCCGCCCTCAATGCAAGCGTCGTCTGCGGAGGCAGCTCCATCGTGGATCCGCTTGTAAGACCGCAC